ATCGTTGAGTTACATGTTTTAAACCAGTCTGGAGTGTTGCTTTTCTTCTTGCTGACCTCTTGTTTCAGTCACAATGGTGTTACAACGCGTGTGTGTGTGCACAGGGAACTCCTCTGACAAGCAGGGTTTTGTGTTATCTGAGCTCTACTGTGGATGCCATGTTAGCAGCCTTATCTCCTGTTAAACCACGTTTTCCTACCTGCTCAACTCCGAAGACTGACCACCACCAAAATCTGCAAAGATCATTTCAAACTAAGCTAAATTGTGAACCGATAGTGTGTGTAGGCCTGTAGTTAGGTGTAGCAATTCAAACTGATCTGCATCCATCCAAAACAAGTTGCTCCTCCTCCAAACCTAATTTTTACTTGAAATCGGCTAGAAGAAATGACAAACTGAAGTTTATTTTGTTTGCAAGTTAAATACCACTGGCTCAGCAAATCTAGGGCAATTTGTTTTGGGGGTTGTCTTTTTAAAGAAATGCACTATGGCCTGGGAAGGTTAGTTCCTGCCTAGAGGAAGCCCTTTTATTATTGCTGCAGAAAACAAAACCTGGCTGAGTTTGGTGTTCTAATGTTTGGGTTTTTTTCTTTACTGAAAGCCACATAATGCTTCTTGCTGGGTTTTTTGTGTACATAAACATTGTCAAAAAGCTGTGAAAGAAAATGGCTGAAGGTGTGCCGTTGTATAAAAGGTGAGCAATAAAAGTATCTGTATGTTCTGTTTGCCTTAGTTTCTTTTCCTTGACAGTAAAAAGCAGTTGCTGCAGTAGCTGGGAATTCATGGGGATTTCTGTCTTCATCTCTTTTTTTATTGTTACCTATTTTGTACTTTGTAGTTGTTCCGGCTGTACCATGTATTCTGCCCTTCGAGGGCTGTCAGAACAGCAGCAAGTGGGAGGAACTGATCTTCAGTTGCTCTGCCTTTTTTCTGTTTGTCCCTCTGACCTGGTGTAGCAGCTCGTGGTACTCCCTCCTGCTGTGTAAAGTTATTCCTGGGCTGTGTGAGCATGTTGTCTCCCAGGTTATGCTCCGGCATGTCATGTGAACTTGGTATGCTGCTTCTGGGAACTTCCTGATGCTCTCCAGCCTTGTGGAAATGTAGGTTCTTGTTACTGTACTCAGATCACTGTAGCAGCGGCTGTGATGATGGCAGAGTCTACCTGTTTTGTCCTTGGGGATGAATCCAGATTGATGCAGGCAGGAGGACTTCCTTGGCTTACAGTAATAGCATGAGTATCTGAGAGAATCTCTGTAACACTGGTGTTGCCAGTAGTAGTAACTGGTAGTCATGTAACTAAGTTAAAAAACACCATTTAGAACTGATCAGCCTGTATTTTTGTGCCACAGTCAACCTGAAAATCTGTTTGATTTATTGCAGCCACTAGATGCTGCTAGCGATTCATGGGTTTGGAAGCAAAGGTCCCTGAGAAAGACACTTGGGAATCTGACTTAAGGGCTATTCTCCTTTAGTGTTTCAAACAAATTTAACAAGCCTGATGAGGGAAGAGCTTTCTGTATTAAATCCAGGTCTTTGAGGATCACTGATACAGATCTATCTGTGCCTAACATAGTTCAAATTATCAGCATCTAAAACAATGTTGCTGCTTCACAAAGGTTTATTGATGATTTCTTACAGCAGCAATCTCCAGAGAAGGTGTCTCCCCTGTAATACCTTGCCATGAGCATTAGCTGGTGACTAGCTGCATTCCTGCAAAAATAATTAGTGTTTTTCTTTTTTTAAGAATTAGGGTTCCTACAGGGGGGTCAGTCCTGGACTAGCAAATGCAAAGAGATTGACAAATTAAAAGAGTCTTTTTCAGGGAATGTAATCTCTTCAAGCTAACAGCTTCTGCTTTTTCTTCACACTCCTCACTGCAAAGAGGATGGTATTTGCTGTCAGTGCATTAAGAGTGCTGTAAACTTGTCCCTAGCAAGTGAGAACATGGGAGGAGGCTCTTCTGAGAGCCCCTGATGGAGTTACATCAGTGCCTTCAGAGATTGCTTTCTGTGCCAGAGCTGCCTGTTCCTCTGCAAGACTATAGCTGTTGCTGCAGTGGAGAGTCTCACTTTTGCACACTGTGACATGGTGAATTGATGCTGAGGTGGGGTAGGAGCTTCCCCTTCCTTCCAAATAGCTTTTTCTCATCAAAATATGTTGCTTCTCCTCCTTCCTCTTCAAGTCCCAGTTTATTCCTGTTTGAGGGGGAAAGTTTAAAAAAAAAATCAGAAGTCAAAACCAGGAGGCTTTACTCTTCCAACAGGAAAGAAAACACTTTGCCTTCTGCCAGCTGTTGTTGTTTTTCCTTACTCTATTGTTTCCTTCTAGTGTGCTGTGACTTCTTTGTTCCACAGAGAAAACAAGCTTTGTGTATGTGGTGAGAGCAGCTTTGATTAATGAAAGCAAACAGCCACTGCTTTGTTATTCTCTGTATGATGCTCTGATATTTACTGTTTTCTAAACACCATTTCTGCACCGCTGCAGAAATGCTTGGGAGGAATCTCTTAAATAGAAGCTGGGAGAGGAGAGATGGGTTGTGGATGTTATTAGACTGTGGTGGATTGGATATACATGGCTTGATTTCATTGTGCATCATGATCAAAAGCAGACTCCAGCAGATGAAAAAGGCAAGTAAGCAAGCAAGGGGAACGAACAGTGTTCTTCCTCTTGGCCTTCCTGTTCTTGCCACTCTTCTCTCACACACTGTAGGCACCTTGATCTGTTTTTTCCAGCTGCCTTTTTTTCTCTAGCAGCTTTTGTTTCCTAAAGGATTCACTTGCACTCACTTTCCATTCCCTGTGTTAGGATCACTGTCTCTTGAGCATTGTCACTGTGCAGTAAGATAACTATGGGGAGAGAGGAGCACAATTGCTTCCCACATCAGGTGCATTATTACCTGACTTGGAATACCGTGATCCATATGCACTGTAGTCATAGTTGGGCTTTCCTTGCAGGTCTGAGGAAAAGATAAGAATTTATTTCTTACTGTGAGTAAAGGAGTACCACAACAAGGGAAAGTGGGTCAAACTGAGCTTGCACCATACATAACTCACCCCAGAGAGCCTTTTGGCTTGTAGCTGTTCCCTGAGTAGATTTCTCTTTAGCTGGCTGGTAATCTCTCACTTGATGAGATTCCTCTACTTCAGCAGCCAAAATCCTGAAATGTGCAGCTCCACGGTGATGTACCATGATGGCTGATAGCACCGGAGGGGCTCCTCAAGGCCAGAGCATATGGGTAACCTGCCTTAAGATTTTGGCTGGCTGTCTCCATTAAACTATTATTTGCATCTGAATTGAGGAAAGTGGCAAGTGCCTCAACCAAACCCAGGCTCAATTAGAACCTAGAGGCTTACCAGCCAAGTATCTAAGATAGGACTGGGGAGAAGGGAAGCAAGATTCATGGCAGTAGTTAGTTACATGAAGTCGTTGGAGCTTGACAAGTCCTGTGATGTAGGAGTACTCCCTGTGACAGGTTATGCACCTAGGACATGAAAAACTGAAGTGACAAGAATGCAGTGGGGAATAAGAATTCTCATTGAGATCTTCAGACTTTTGAGTGTCCAAAAGGCTTTTGTCAATTCTTGTGGTACTAGAAGTTAATTCAGTTGCCTGTTAGGCTAATGAAGACCTGCAAACAAAAGCCCTCAAATACCTTTTTGTTGCACATAATTTAGTCTTAGTTCTGCCACATTTAGTCTGCAGGAGAGAGTCGAGGTGTTATTGACTGTTAGGCTCTCTCTGAACTTCGGTTTTCCCTGGATAACAGGAATGGTACAGATGTATCAATGCACTTTTAAGGTGTTGAGCATGATTGATCAGTCCCAAATAAGCCGGCTCATGCTGAACTCCAAGTTTGCTTTATCAGCCTTCTAGCAAACCCTTAGGTTAGAGTCACAGCAGTTTTGTGATTGGAGAGCAGTATGCCAAGGTGTTTCCCCTGTGCAGGCTCTCAGCATACTCATGTGCGTGCTTGCTTCAGGTTATGACTTTTCAAGGGGACACAGTCTGAAAAAGCAAGTGCTATTATCAGCTGTAAACATTGCCTTCTCCCCTCTTTGGCTGAAAATAGGTCACACCTCTAATGGCTTGACAAACAAGGGTAGAAGGGAAAAAATATTTTTCCTTTGTGTTTACTTGGTGCTTTTTATAGCTCTGACTGCTGTCAGTGTCATTGTTTCCCTTTTATTGTCCAGTAATTTCCTCTCATGGCCACGTGGGCCTTTCCCACAACAGAGGAAAGAAAAACAAGTACAAAAAGTAGGAAAACAGTATTGTAAAACCAAAGAAAGAGGGAGTTTGCCTATGCTGTGGGTGGGTGGAAGGTCATAACTTGTTTTCACACATGAAGCAGAGATGAAGGTGATAAAGGCCTCTTTAAACTTTCCGGCATTAGCTTCACTCATGGAAAAAGCAGACTTTTTGTGTAAATTTCATACAGCCCCAGCAGTAGCCCTTTGCTGATGGCTTTTCTGTCTCCTAGGACCAGATTGTCTGCGGCTGTAAACAGCACTTAAAAGTTCAGCACATAGATTTTCCATTGAATTTACCCTGTTGGCTGCAGTGCTTATTTTGAAAATCCAGATCAGTGCTGATAACGCAAAAACTTTTTTCCAAAGTTGCATCCATTTCTGCAATGACCCTGCCAGCTCTTTTTTCAAGGCTTTGTTGAGAAGTACTTGGAACTATTTTTTGTGCTGTATAGATGTTCATCAGTTAGCAGGCTGATGCTGAAGGAAGGAAACCTTGATTAGATTTTCTTTGTGCTATAATAGTCACAAAACAAACAAAACCTTGTTTCTCCTGCCTCTACAAAACTTCTTCCTTCCTTCCCTCCTTCCTTCCCTCCTTCCTCCCCTCCTTCCTCCCCTCCTTCCTCCCCTCCTTCCTCCCCTCCTTCCTCCCCTCCTTCCTCCCCTCCTTCCTCCCCTCCTTCCTCCCCTCCTTCCTCCCCTCCTTCCTCCCCTCCTTCCTCCCCTCCTTCCTCCCCTCCTTCCTCCCCTCCTTCCTTCCCTCGAGTCACATATAGAAAGAGTGTGCTTCTTCCTGCATTTACTTTTTGTCTTGTTACTTGTTCTCTGTTTTTAGTGGGTTTTGTTGGTTTTTTCCCAGCCTCTGTCCAGTATACTTCACATGCAGCCTTCTTTCATGTGAAATACCTATTTCCCAGATGCCTGAAGCTTCTAGAACCAGTGTCTAAGGCTGCAAGGATCCTACTGTGGCTGCTCAGGCCATCTCAGCCAAAGGCTTCCAGGCTTCCCATGAGGAAGACCTTGTGGGGGCACATAAGGCATGCTTTCCCTTTGACTTCTGTAGAGGAGTCCTTGAACAACAGTCCACAGAGGTGACATGCTGTTTAATTTGGGAAAAATGTAAAATTTTAGGCAATGGCTGCCCCCAGCCTTGCTCTGCAGCTCAGCTGATCTGCTGTACTGAAAGGGATATGGCTCACCTTTCCCAGCTGGGGAAAATCCACGCTTCAGACTAGTTCCGATCAGCAAGCATATTCTCCCTGCCCAAGACTTCACCTGCCTGAGGAAGGTGCCTCTGAGAAGATACCTTCTGTCTAGGAAGGTATTTTTTTGTAAAGCTGAGTTTATTCTTTTAAAGCCTAAAAGCTGAGTAGAACTGGGGGTAGGGGACAGAGGAGGGCAAGACTCTGGGGATGTTCAGAGCAGAGGAGAGAGCTGGGGTTCAAACCTGACTTTGCATTTCCCTCTCAGGGAGCCAGATGTCTCTCTGCCCCCTTGAGAAGCACTCAGGGCTACTCCATAAAGTTGGAAGCAAAGCTGAAGCTCCCTTATGTGCAACATGAGGCTTTGCAGAGGTTTTAAACAAGCACAGAAAGTCCTAGTGGGTTTGGCTCAAACAACCAAATAATCTCTTACAGGGTCTATCCAAGCACTTGCATTTTTCACCTACTCTTATTGCTTGTATTCTTTGGCATTTGCAGATCAAGCTGTAAATAAGGTTTGACATAATCTTCTTTCTTTCCACTGTGTGGTGTTTTGGAGAGTCTTAAACAATCCCTCAGTCTCCCCCCATGTTTTTTAAAAGATCATGAGACAAGAGAGAATGGATGGGGTGGAAGTATCCAGCATAATTTGGGATTGTATTTGACTTTAGCTAATTCATTAATCCAGCATTCTTGTCATTATGACACACTTTCTCCTGGACACTCTCCTGGAATTGCTGTACTTCTAGCAGGCAGGATTTCACCAAGACCAGCAGAGACACACAGATCAGACAGGAACTCTGATGGCTGATGCTTTCTGCATTTTCTTAAGTTAGAGAGAGCGAACAAGAAAGTCTTTGTTCCTTTGCCTAGATTGGGGAACTAAAATTGTTTTTGTGAAGAAAAGTCTTTCCCTTGTTCAGAAAAAGATGACCACTTGAAATAAGAAAAATATTTTCTAAGTTTTGTATATTCAAGCCTCCCCACAGCAAAAAACAAACAAACAAACAAACCCAAAAAAACCCCCAAAAAAACTCATCTTACATCAACTTCTAAAAATGTTCAAGCCCTGTCAGCTCTCTCTAGTCAGATTCTTGTTGTGGAACTGGGAGATCCACATTCTGTAAACAGCCTATGAATGCTTTTAAAAATATATTTAAATATATGTTACATTGTCCAAGATAAATTTATTCCTTTTTGGGCAGTGAGGGGTGTGTGTGCACAAAAAAAAATGGCTACATTTCTACCCAGTGTCTTTCTTATTTTCAATGGCTGTGAACACTTACTGCCAACAACTCACTCTGTGCTCCCCTTCCTTAAATGCTTGTAGCAAAGGGTTCCCAGCTGTACCAGGTGCTTGAAATTTTCACCTATTCCTTTTCAATTTCAGGAAGAATTTCTTCATGGTTGGAGTTGTTAAGCATTGGAATGGACTGCCCAGGGGGGTGGTGGAGTCACCATCCTTGGATGTGTTCAAGAAACAACTGGATGTGGCATTTAGTCCCATGGTTTAGTTGACAAGGTGATTGGTCAAAGGTTGGACTTGCTGATCTTAGAGGTCTTTTCCAACCTTAATGATTTTGTTATTCTCCTTGGAGGCTGCAATATTTTGCTTAGCAGGATCAGTTGTGTGAGCCTGCAGACTATCCTTGATCTGCAACTGCTGCTGAGGTAAGTATATAACTGACTGAAGCTACCAGGCTTGCAAGAGATTTATTGATGAGATGAGTAAGTCAATGGCTACAAATAACTTTTAAAAGCCTGAAAGAAATGGGTTGAGGTCTACAGACTAAATGCTGGTCAAAACTATGTGAAGTTAAGAATGAAGTTGCTCATGAAAATATCATTTATAGATCATTAAGAGGCTTATCTCAACAGATCCATCAACAGTAACCAAATTTCTCTATTCAAATTCTCCACCACACCATTTTCACGGTGAGCCAGCCGTGAGCTGTAACGGTAGCTGTGTGGCCAGCTGGCTGTGACCTGTTAGCTGACCTGCCACAGGAAATAAAGACCATGCTTTTGTTAATGCTTGTGCTTTGCCTGCTGAAGTATAAGAATGAAATGTGCTTCTGGCCCTCATTCCCAGCTTGGAAGCCAGTACTTATTCCTCTTGAGTTTACAACAGTAAAGAGAATGGTTTTTTAATGTTTTTTTTTATCTCCACAGATTTACTATTGCTACTGATTGTGCTGGAAAACAAACCTGCAGGATGCAAGATGCAAACCTGGGTGGGTATCATGTAGTCCCAGTGCAGTTTACAGTCAAATTAACACAGAGGAGTGCAGCTGTCAGTTCTGTGTTAGGGAAGTCTATGAGATTACTCTTTATCTTGAAGGCTTATAACATGTTAAAGGGTGCAATAACTGGAATTTTGTGCTACATCTTACAACTGGGTGTTATATCACAGTGTGTGCTACATCTGCACACACCCACCCCTGGGGAGATGGGATAAGAAGACTAACATGTGTGCCAGTTTTTCAGGTTTGAGCTTTTTAGTGTTTTGTTTTTCTCTCTTTTTCCAGATGAATGCTGTCCTCTTTCAATAACTTAACAGTTCTGGGAAATGCAACTTCAAACCAGACCATTATAATTCAGGTGCTGGATCCTACCTTAGCAATCTGCTGATTTGGAGATTGCTCTTCAGAACATTTAGTCTTAACATGTACAGCTTTCTAACCAGAGAAAAAGTACCACATCCACGTAGATACACAGACACAAACACACTCAAAACTAAAGTGTTTATTGCATGCTAATGTTACCATAATTAGTGCTGGCAAAGATGTAGCCAGAAAAACACATAGTGTCTTGGAATTCCTTCAGTCTCAGCCAGCTGCTGCCTATTTGAAGGATCCCCAGTCTGGGAGCTGATATCACTGTGCTGAACACCAACATGCTCACTGTAGCAATGTAAACATGGCCAAAATTCAAAACCTTAGGTGCATGAAGAATTTCAGTATAGAGGACTTTGTGAGAGATTTTTGTTTGAGATTTAATCAACACGCACACCTACTTCTTTCCTTAAATGATCATTATAAGCCTTGGGAAAGGGTTGTGATTGAACAAACTTAGGTGCTTGGCTTCTGTCCTCACCACTGCTGTTGCTGGCAGACATACTGAAATGATGCAGTGCATTTAAAGAAGGCCAAATATATCCTCACTGGCATGTAGAGGAAGTTTCCACAGAAGTCATACAAAAAACACTGAGCACAGAGATCTCTTCTGCTGTGGCTGTGCAATGTTCATTGAAATGGCTTACTCGTGAGAAAATAAATAGTGCCTTATAACACCTTTCAGCTAAGAAAACAGGGTAATGGTTGGGTTTAAAAGGATGAGGTATGGGAACACCCCTTATGGCCAAATGTGGTCTGTGACAGTCCATCAACACTTGTTGTAGTTGTCATCTTTAGTTTTCTGTGCTTCAGGGTGAGCAATCAGCTATCCTGTAAGCAGAAGAAAATAAGCATTTATGTGCTGGCAGAGATGGTCAATAAAAGCACAAGGCTTTGGAAGTATAAACTTTATAGATGACAGCAAGAGACATCAGATCAGTACCCTGGCCTGCACTCCTATATTTGTCAGAATGGTAATTGTTGTGAGTCTCTCATGGAGCCCTGAACTGTGGAGTGCAAGGGTACAACAGCACAGAAGGTGGCCAGATATCCACCAGGTTATTTTAATGGTTTTCAAAATGAGAATTACCCAACTACTAAAAAGCACATACTGACACCAGAACCCAAACTGCCAGTTACAGTGTCATAGTACACGTGTAGTGCAGTGTAGAAAACAATGGATGATTTAGCATTCTTCTGAAAGTGACTCTTGTGCAAGAAACAATGACAAATTTGAATGAAAAAGCATCCTGAAATACATCAAATAACCTTATGAGATTTCAGACTGTAGCAGATTTTAAACTGTTTTGGCTTCTTTTGGAACTCACCTCGGATTCTTGTCTTTCTGGGAGAGTTTCTATTCTATTATGATCCTGTATATCTTGTGGGGCCTCAGCTTCTAGCTCTACATCAGCCTGCATGCTGGGCTTTTCATTCTCCCACTTTGCAAAGCCTTTGTTCTTCCCAGCTTTTCCATGGAATTTGGACTTCATTTTGGGGAAAGTGTGGGACCCTGAATCATTCCAACCTGGCTCATGCCAGAGTGGTTCTGTCTGTGTTGCTTGGCTGGTGGTCACCCGCTGCAGCCGCACAGAAATTTTCTGTGAAGAGCCAGTGACAAGGGTGATAGCTCTGCCATCAAGGTCCTGGTGTTCTGCAGACACGCTGGGAAATTCAAATACTTCATCTTGGACTGAAAGAGAGGGTGGAATTGTTTTGTTTAAGTATTCTGGTGTTTACAAAAAGGTAACGAGCCTGGGGGAGGGTGGGGAGGTAGCCCCTTGTATGAAGCAGTGCTATAGTTATCAATATCCATATGCTGCTTGGAAACTCTTTCTGACACTGTGTGCACAGATCTTATTGCATCACCATCTGCATGCTCAGGGGGTAAGACAGTGCTAGAATTGTGTCCTATGTCTCCTTGCTCCTAAGTGACAAAAAAGGAGAAATATAATTTCATTTCTTTCCAGTAAGAGGATAGTGAGCTTTAGACAGGACACTAAGGCCATCACTGGAGAAAAGGATGTTGTAATTTGAGGAGTGAACACAAGCCATTGTGCAGCAAAAAAGACAGGTGTTGCTTTGTGTGTTGATACAAAGGAAAAATTAAAAATGGCAGCAAGAATACTGGCCATTAGAGAGGATTCCAGAAATGGTTTAAAATAGGAGGAAAACTGTTCTTACCTGGAGGCAGAGATGGACTGCTAGGCAGAGACCTATGGTTGCTACCTACTGAAGTTCCTCTGGAAAATTTCCTGCAAGCCAGCACAAGCAGGTCTCTGCATTGCTTGTGGCAGTTGGCACCACAATCTGTAAAAAAAGAAATTGTCAAGTCATCAAATGGAAAGCCACAACTACCTGGTAATCCCTCTGGGCTATTAGCAGGCAGATACCAAGAAAGGACTTTGAAGGAACAAAAAAGTTTGATAAGAAGGTGTGAAGGGTGTTACAGAAATGGATCATTTGGTGTGAAGTGCATTACAAAAAAAAAAAGATAATTTCCATGACAGCCATTAGTAGAAAAATGGCAACAAAAGAGAAGAGGGAAGATAATATTTTAATTATAAAATAGTCTCAAGGAAGAGATGTGGAATGATATGATCCTGTGTATGCCCTACATAAAACTTCTGCTCTACTGCATGAGTCTCCCTAAGAGGGGGGGTTATTTATTTGGCTGGCTTTTATTTGACCCAGCAGGGCCCATTATAGTAAACAGGTTTGGTTAGAAGACACCAGAGCATTCATACCCTGAGCACCTGGAAGGACTGCTGGAGGTCAGTGTTGACTACTGTAGGTTAAAACTACTCTAAGTAGCTCAGTAAGCAACATTAGCACATGATTGAGCTTTGTGGAAGTGTATCATGTACTCAGAAAAGACTTTTTGAGTTCCTGCACTCCAAGCCTCTGCTGGGATTTAAATCACGGTGGATACATCATCACTAGGTACATTTGTCTGAAGTATGGCTGGAGTATGGATCTTATATGCAAGAAAGGACTGAAGGGTGGAGCATGTGCCCCAAACACAGTCTTGCTCTCTGTATTCTTTTTCATTGTTTAAAAATTCCCATCTCCCTTATTTCTCTGTTGCTGCTCCATAGCCCAACATTTTGTTCTAGGTGAGCATTGTCAAGGTGCTGCATTTGCAGCTCTGCTGTAGGAACCACTCTGCTCAGTGCTGCATGATGGGTGGGAGTTCTGCTTTCTAACAACACCTTGTTCATACGACTAATGCAGCAGTCCATGCCCAGCTCTGGCTTTCTCTGCCTCAAAGGTAACACACTCCCTCACATACTAAAGATCTCTCTTGAAGTGCAGGACTCCTATCACTTGCAGACCATGCAGTCTAACTTTTATCTCACTACTCACAGTGCTGGGGTAAGCAGCAGGCCTGGAAGGAGGAACTCCCCCTTCCCCCTGCTGTGTTCAAACTGAGGATGACAGCTCTGTGCTAAAGGCAGAGTTCATCCCGAATGGGTGTCACACTGCAGTGATGCTGGAACACAGAGCAGCTGGTAGCTGCTGCAACAAAAGGCAGGCACCCTCACACCTGTTGACCACTGCAGGATCTGAGCAACTCTGCTCTCTTACTTTCATGCTTCATTGCCTGTAACTTTGACTTTACAGAACCACTTTTACTCAGTCTCCACTGGGCCACTGCTACAGGCAGTGATGCACAACAGAAGCTCAAACTTTCAGGTCTCAGATTGAGTTTACAGGTTGGTGTGACAAAACTTTACCTTACTTTTCTCATCCTACTAGTAAAACTATAGACAGCAACCAGCCCTTTCAAAGTTTCTAAGATGACAGTAATCAGGAATTATCAAGGAATTATCAAGTAATCAGGAATTATTATTCCTGACATTAATCAGGAATCTGAATTACATATGTTGATTTAGCCATGGACATTTTTCCCATCCCACTCTGAGGAAGAGAGGTTTGTGGCTGGAGAGAGACAGAGTATGGTGTAGCCTAAAAAAAAATTACTGCAAATTCTTTATCCTTCTCCTTGGAGTCTGTGTAAGACTAAGTGGAAAGAGTGCAAATGTGAATCTTCCCCTTTGAATAACTGAGATGTAGCTACAGCTATGAAAATCAACAGTGCCCTTCAGCCAGAGTTGGGCTGCTTGAGAAATAAATAAGTCCAGGATTTTAAAGCCAATGAGGACCACTATAATGTCCTTTTTGGTCTGACCTGCTTAATATGGTACAAGTAGTACATAAATTAAGTATTTTATTAAGGCAAAGGAGAGGGATGTAAGAGCTCTAGCATTTTTTATGAGTTGAATGTCTGAAGAAGATCTTGCAATGAGATCTGCTGGGCAGTCTAAGAATTAAATATTTCTCTATTTCAAGCTTAGCCTAGAAATAGAGAAATATTTATTGCATGTAGACTTCACTACAGGCACATAGATGTACACGGATATACAAACAACAGTTTGTTGTTTGCCAGCAAACCTTTTCCTGACCTGAGTCTCAGGGGATATATTTTAGGATGTCTCCATGTTAGGATAAGAATACTTGGTTTTCCAAATTACAAAGTCTTTACTGGTAGAAAGTGGCAGCTTATGGAGTCAGGGGCTGCTTTGGACCTTTAGCTCACAGAATCTGTGCATTCCTACTGCATTCTAATATAGTAATGTGCATTGTAATGCAGTGAAACTTCATAGTGTGCCAGCAGTCACTGCTCGTGGACAATACCAAATGTAGATGCAGGATGTGTTTGAACATATACCGTTTTAGTTAAAGGTATGGTTGACTATCTTGTTCTTAAACCCACCACCAATAGCTTGAAAAAAATCCTTGTAATATTTATTTACCTTTGCATTTGTAGCCTTGTTTGATTATACCCCAGAGCTGCAAAGAAAGACAAAAGAACGTCAAGGAATTAGAAAAGAAAGCTGGAAGGAAAACAATGTCACAACGAGGAAGTACCAATGGCTACAAAAGCACAAACAGGATGCAACTGCTCTTAACACCCTTCCTGTCAGGCAGACCTCCCCCTCTAGTTGTGATAAGACTTGTGTGGCTTCTCCCTTACTTCTGCTACTTACTTGTGATAATGGGACTACCAGAGAAACAGATGGCTTTTGCTTCCAGGAATGGGTTAAAATGTGCTATCATATCAAGCTTAGTGAAAACAGCAGAGCACATTCTGCTTCTAGGCTCCCTTCATGTTATCTGCTGGAGAATTTCCTGTGTACATCCATTCTCCAGATACATCACTGACCCATAACATTCAAGCACAGCAGAAGAAAACACCACTTGGGATAAAAACTAGGTTCTTGGTTCCCATACTGGCTCCCAGCACGCCTAGCCATAGCAATCTGATTTGTGCACCTGTCTTTTCCAACTTAAAAAAAACCCAACCCAAGCAGATGAAGAATGAAATAGGCAGAAAAGACACTAAATTCCATCTTTGCCTTCCCTCAGAAGCTGTTCTTGTTGACATACACTTGCAACTACTAAATGCTAAACATCCAAGGGCCAGAGTGTGTGGTCTCAGTTTTGGGAAGCTTTCACTGCCACATGAGCAGGATTGCTTGGAAAGAGAGAAACTTGCTAGTAAATTGTTTTCTATGTACTCAGAAGCACTGTATCTACAACTGCAGCATTATAAAAAGAAGCATTTCCACTCTTGAGAGGCAGTGAGAGGAAGGGGCAGGTTTTCTAACTAGCATAAAAGGAAAAAAACTGAGGACCCTGGTGTTTATTTTTCCTGAACTCATTCACCAGGGAAGGTGAGCACATCCAGGCAACTGAAACTGCATGCGTCTCCTCACCAGATTTATAAGTATCCATGCACAGAAAGCAAGGGGTGAATATAGTCATTAAAGAAAGGTTCAAATGAAGAGATGAAGATCATTCAGAATACAAAGGAAAGAGTAAAATAAACAGAATGGAAAGATTCTGGGTGAAATTAAAACTACCCCACACACTGCACAAAAGAAGTAGCAAGCAAAAATAGGGCTCTGGAGAGAGCAGAAATAGACTGGACAAGGTCGAAGAATGGTGAACAAAAGAATAGAAAGGACAACAGTGGGAGCTGGGTCCATAGAAGGCCTGTGTCTTATTTTTCTTGCTAATGCCATATATGTGCACAGAGAGCATAGTTGCTGTGCTCAGGCAGTGACAGGGAAGCACCCCAATCCCCCTTGAAAGAGCAGAGATGACCTATTTTCCCAGATCTCTTTTACAGGATCACTTTAAGAGACATGGATTGTTACTTATTTAATTTAAGCTCTAATCTGTTCCCATTGAAGATCTCCCTCCTCACTTCTCACCTTCTTATCTCTGTACCTTCCTCCCACTCAAATTTGGCACCACTGTTGTGGTTACACACCGCAGTGGAAGCTTAGCTGAAGTGTCATGTCATGAATTCTGACCTAAAGCTTTGAGTTTGTCTGACACAGCTTTGCTGCAAAGCTGGTTTGAGCCAGCTCCAAAGTAAGAGGATCTGTGCAAATTCAGATTATAAAGCTTAGCAGCATGGCCGGTCACCTACCCTGCCACGTGGTGCAACTCAAGCTTTGGGACGGAACTGTGACTGGCCATGGGCATATCAACTTTGTGCTGCTTAATGGCATTAGGTCTTAGCTTGACCTTCAAAGTTTGTAGCATTGTGTGCATTGCACTGTCACATCAGTTTATCCTGCTGCATGGTCAGTGCACATTATTTCGACTGTGAATCAGTGCATCGGTTTGAAATTAGGTTTCCACCCGTGGATGAGTAGCCCTGAAATGAAGAACAAATATGCAGCAGATTCTGTAGCTGGTTCCTGTCATGTCAGTCCAACTCATCCACAGAACAATGCCAATGACTTCAGTTAGCTGACAGGAAAAATGACCTTATTTCCATTTCCTGTACAACCCCTTACTCATTTGTATTCCTGCACTGGATGTAATCAGGGAGACGTGAAAAATCTAACAATGGCCAATTAGCAAATTGATGCAGGAGAAAAATATCTACAGGAGAGGACGTTTCAGGGCAGTCCTTGGGCCTTGCTTTGCTGTGGAAACCTCCCAAACACGCACTGGGTGTCACGGACACAATGACGTCTTCCCAAGGCAGCCTGGAACAATGGGCTCAGGCCAGTGGCTGTCCCTGCCCCACGGGTCAGCTCCAGACCCACCAGCACGCTCCTACATCAGCACTGACCATGTCACCGCCAGAGCTCTTGCAGCTCTAGCGGAAATAAGTGGAATTCCTTCATTAATCAGTGGCAGCAGTTGCGATAGGGGCTTCAAGCATCCGAACAAAAGTGACACGTTGCAAAAGAAGTGAGTGGAAAATGGGAGCATGGGCTAGAGCAGGAAGGCCAGAGCGGGTCTGAAAGGAGGTACATTTTTTTGCGCTTTGCAGTGCTGCTGTTGTTACTTTCAACCATGAAGAAATACTGCTTAGTGGAAAAGATCATGGAATGAAGTTACCACCGAGTGCAGAGGCAGATCTGTTCTGGAGAGCAGGGACAGGGTCTGAGCTTACAGCCTGTTATGTGAGCCACGCACAAGCAGAGGACATGGCCCTCTGCCCTTACTGCTTTAGCTGTCTAAATGTGGACGTTTGATTTCAGCCAAGTGTGTCCACTAAAGTAACCTCTATATCACAGTAATTCTTCTCTACATTTGGTTTGAAGTGGAAAACTTAGAGAAGGTTTACAAGCAACACAAATGTCCAAAAAATGAATCCTTTCCCAGATATGTAGAGAGCACTCTAGTAAGTGACATCTGGTAAGTTACAGCTAAGAGAAAAAGCAAATTAAAAAAAACCTCCAACAAATAAATTCTAAAAATTCTTATTGTACAGAACTACTGGAAGCACTTTTGATTTCTTTACCAAATTAGAAGATCTGTTAATCCAATAGAGGGAAAATTAGGGCTGTTACAGCCATTCAGAGAATTATGAACATATCTATGTTGCCATGTGCAATTTCCTGAGAAAGAACGGTTTTTGCCTCATCTACATCCTCTGCTCCAGACATCTATTTTCCCTTGAGCTTGTTTACATGGGAAATCAAGCCAAATCAAAGAACTTAAGATAAACCAAGTAAGACCATTCATATAGTCTCTAACATCCTTTAGCTAATGTATTTTTCCCCCCCTTGACAGAAATTCCTACAAATGGCAGTTTTCAGAAACCACTAAATCAAAACTGGATAACACAGCTACAACATGACTAAATGTTTTGTGCCTCTGTACCATGAGATATTATTTAGCCAAGAGACATTAACTGTGTATGGAGCCAGTTCCACTTCATATACATTAAAGGCTAAAAGTTGTTTTTATGATATGCTATTATTAAAATCATACTTACAAATCCTGCACAGTGCTCGCAGAAAGTTGGTTTAAGATAGGTCATTTCCTGAAAGTTATGAATAAACCCTGGTCCCATTTTACACTGAAACTGTGATTTAGCTCTCAGAAAGTAAGCCATCATTTCTTCTTTGCTTATAAGACCATCTCTGTAAGAGAAAAAAAAGTAGAGTAGATCTATCACTGCTCATAGGACTGAAAAATTTGGGATTTTCTCATTGCAGAAAGCATGCAGCACACAAAGCATATCCTTTGAAAGAGCTGCAACAACCCTGGAAGGAAAAAACCTTTACAGCCTTTGTGGTGCTTATAATTCTTTAAACAGTAACACCTGAACCTTGTTATCTCACCTGTTAGTGGTATGAGAGCACAGACTAGGCCACTAAATGAAAGAGCTTGACTTACTGCTCACACAGAACAATTGGTAATGTCTCTGGCTGGCCACCAGCCTTCACAGTCAAAGAAATTATTGATAACAAGAATTATCAAGCCCAACCCCCTCTCTGCTACCTGTACTCCTTTCCCATGTGCTGTACAGTGCTTATTTGTTTCATCAGTCTGATGTCTGGACTGGATAGAGTATCTCCACTGCAGTTTCACAGTACTCTTGGGGTTTGACTCAGTCCCAGCAGGAATTTGTCATGAAGCTATTATATAAGTGATTTTTAAATTACCACGTAAAGCAGGAATCCAACCTAGGACTTAAAGCACTGACTAGAGTATAGGAAGTTAAATGACAAAATTTGGCTTTCAGTAATCTTGTCAGGCACAAGAAACTTGGAAGCTGCTGTTTCTTTAGTATTTATATTTTCTGAATTTTAAAATTGAGGAAAAGGGAGAAAAACTACCACAAAGAGATTTCCGAACTTACTGGTCTTTGTCCAGCACACAGAAAGAGTCCAAGAAGGGGAAGTTGGCAGCTATACTCTCAAAGTCTTCCTGAGATATATAACCATCATGGTCGTGATCGTAGTTCCTAAAGACAGACTGGGGGGGGAGAAAAAATATTCTTGCATTATTATCTAGCTTATCCTGTACTATAATCTAGCTTATCCTAGTCCATACCAGCTTCTTCAATATTATAATTACATGTAAACTGATGTTTTATTCAGCTATTCAGATGCTCTGTTGCATCTGTTTTATTCCTTTTATTTTACTTAGTATTTCAATATGCATATTATTGGACTCTACTGGAAAAATGGCTGATTTTTAAAGAAAATTTGACATCAACATTTATCTAGTGATGTTCCTCCACATGTATTCACATAATTGTTCTTGCTTTACTTTTCTTCTTTGATGGAAATGTCACTAAAATTCTGCCCCAGGTGATGACATATTCCCTTTGCTTCATTAAGTATACTTTTTAATAATGAAAAAAAAGGAAAAAATAAAACAAAACCACCAGATTTCCCATGAGCATTTCAGATGGTTTTGGCTTCATTTTTCTTTTAGGTGGTCACGTCTACTCTATCACAGTACTGTTTCAATCTATTTTGTTTACTAATATTTTGACACCCCAATCATGAGCAATTTGTGTCTAACAACTATTCTCTTCCATCAACCCATCCCAATCCACCACTACGTAAAAACAGACATGGGATAAAATTTAAAGGTCACATACAGTGATGGGTGCCCTCCTTAGCTGCTAAGGAGCTACTGTATTCTGGCTTCCTGTTTGCAGAGATGTGCAAGTGGTGTTAACGTGATGCTGATGGGAAAAACATGAGCGTCAAAGTCAACATGACTATCTGAGAGGTACATAATGAAGTACAGGCTCCTTCATTAGATTAAAATATTGTTGATAAAGACATAACATCAATATACTGAGACTCCTGAAAGGCATCTGTAGTATCCTTGATTTAACAAGAACCTGATGAAACCCATTTCTATGAAATGACTGTTACTGATGACTGGCAGACCTCAAAAAAACATCATAAAGAAGGAACTAAAACACAAATTCAAGTAGTATTCAACACTTTTTGTAATAAAAACAATGGCTAAAAGCACAACTCAAAGCAGCAAGTAACCAAAAATACTGGCAAAGTGAAAACAATTGTAGAGTGGTGTGAGCCTTTTAGTAAGCTGTATCCATAAAAGCTCTAAACCATCTTTTAATTCTGTCAAACTCAAATCACATGTCCTGAACCAGGCCAAAATTGTGGAATGGGGATCTGCAACTCCCTCAACTATAGGAACAAACATAAACTCCCACACAGCAAATTCTGGAAAGATTAAGGAATTTTGACAAGCTTCCTATTTAACAAGCTATCAAAGAGAAGTTTGGATGTGGAGTAATTTTTATCAACACATATGGCCCTGACAAAAGCAATTCAGGAACAGCATGTGCATTTCTGGCATCCCATATTAGAAGAAAAATTAAGCTATTTTAAAAAAAGTTCATGTACAAAAAGTAAACTACAAGATATATTTGAAATCTGTGTGAGAGAACTGGGGAGTTTGTTTAGGTTATCTTAACAACATGACCCCAATTAGTGATCTGTAACACAGACAAAATCAGAATTTAATAGTTCCTCTCAGAGATACTTATTAATTTATAGAAAGCAGAAAGAAAAGTTCAGTCTCTGCAAAGGAACCTGGAGGTGTTTAGCTCTGTTTACATTACCTAGCACAACACATCACCTTCTAAACTGGGGCTAGAAGATCCCAGCTCTAATTCTGCATGACCTCGTGTCTGCATTTTTAAAGTGACATCAAGACAAAGCTATCTTTACCATACATAACATGCTCTGGGCACTAAACTTACAGCAAGTTCAAAATCAGAAATAGAGTTTCAAGAAAAGTTCATTGGACCTATGGTCCAACAAGGTCTGAGACCTTGCTTCTGAGTTGCTTTCTTTTCAGCTATCTGCTACCAGACATGAACTGTGTGGCTAGAGCTGTAGAAACTAAACTTTGCACACTGAATTTATATTTGCTAGACAAACCTATTAAACAGCAGCCAGGTTTCTGAAAGTCTGCTCCTTTGCCCTCAGACCTGTTTACATTAGTCTCATTGCTGACTGCAGGAATAAAATAAGTATTTCTGAACATATCAGTAATGGCTCAAATATGTTATGGTATGTCTGAAATTGACCCCAACCATAACAATCTCATTATAAGCTTGAAATTACTTGTAATTATGAAAATATCAAATCTACCATTCTCTTAGGCCAGTGTAATGTTCCACATACTTACATCCACCAGTTTCCGTATGTGCTTGTTGATGACTGTAGGGTCAGGTTTAGGTACCACTCCAGATGCCCACTCCAGTGGCACTACTGGCTTGTTGGGGGTGGTTGGGGAGGTAGGCTGCTAAGAGATGGATCAGAACACAAGGATTTTCAAATCTGAATTAAGAATTTGAATTTCCCAGTAAAAGCGGCTCAAAATATCAGAGCTATAACAGCAAACTACTGGAGTACTCATGCTGTAAAAATGTGGTTAGCAATATCAGGCAAGGTTTTAAAGGGCTTCACTAACAGCTTCAGTCAGGCTCTCTGTGGCACCTTGCAGCTACATTGTCACCACCCAGCGAGCTCAGAAGAAAACCCAAGCAGTCTTTCCTCACTGACACCTCCAGAGGGTTCTACAGAAATGAGACTTGAAAGAAGAGGGGAGGAAGGAGGGTCTGTAGGGTTTGTTAACACAGTGGGCATCAGAAATAGGTGAGACCAGAAACTGCTTTGCTCCTCAGTAAAAACTCTGATGAGATCACGACAGTCTGCCCTCAACTCCCTGCTGGAGAGACCATGCCCAGAAGCCCCACGAGGGACTGCCTCAACCATGTCGGAATCTGAGGTATTGATGATCCCGAGATTGTAGAAAGTCTCTTTCTGCCCCATTGCCAAAGAAGAAGCCATAATTCGTCTGTGCTGGTTTTCAAGGTTGTTTATTCTTGCTTATCTCTAACATGTTCTGCTGTCCTGCCGCAGGTCTGTCCTGCAGGGCAGCGTGTGGGGCTCTGCCCCTCAGTGGGATGTTACAAACATTATATACCAGAAACTACCTGTGCTATATTTACAATAATGTGCCAATATCTGTCACCTACGTTGAACAGTGTGTCCCCAGCCTAAACCAACAGAAAAATGCCAACACTACAGTGAAACATGGAGGGCATGAAGAAGGAGGAAAAGGACAAGACACACCCAATTTCCTCCATCTTGTCCCCTTTGAATCCCTAATCTAGAAACCTAAAATTTTACTTTTGCACCCGTGCCACACTTAATTATTACTCATATCAAACATTCAGAGCTTGTAATTCATCCTGTAAGATTGAAAACTCTTTTCCATGGACAGAGATCAGAGACAGTGTCTCTGGGGGCTCTGTACAGGGGCATTCCTGACCCCCTGCCAGGGTCCCAGACCTGCCAGGGCAGCCAGAGGGAAGCCCTGGATTCCCACACAACCAGAATAAGTTCATGCTCCTGCTCTGTGTGGCACCAGCAACACAGCAGGATGCACTAGCAAGGCAGATTGTGCTCAGCAATCCCTCTGGTTTCCAGCTGAGATGTGCCAGAATACACATCTTGATTAATCTAGGCAGCTTGTGTAGAAAGGCTCTAAACTTTGACTTCTTTGCAGATAACACCAGCCAGACTATTTTATTTTAAAAACATCTTGGTTTTGACAGAACAGTAGCTGACAGCTCACTGGCTGCACAGACTTCACAACCTGACTCTTTCCACACCACTACAGTGCTTTGGGAGTAGCTCTGGAATGCAGCTCAGACTCTTCAAGTAGAAAATATAGGACAAACCTGAACACATTTTCAGGTAATGATTCAAAAATAACTAGTTAGCATGAAAAACACTGCAAGACAAACTGGCCTTTCCCTCATCTGCCACTGGACATCTAGCAGGTGAAGCAGTGTCAAGCAGAAAAAATTCAGTGTGTTTTGGATCAGAAGGGAGAGGGTCCACAGTCTCAGAAGGCCCCTGTGTTAGTTGATGAGCAAAGAATCTGGGGCTCATTTGTCTAACTCTGAATTGGCATGACCTGAAAGGGAGACAAGACCTGTAAAGATGTTTCAGGTATCATGGTGTATAGCTTTTGACATCCAGATGAGAAATAGTCAAAAGTTCATATTTTACTGTGTTTGGCTTGAAAAGAAAAAAAGGATTTGTTAGTTAGTTGCTTTATTAATTTGGCTTTTCCTTTTTCAAGTGTTAGAATAGCTTTTATCAACACCTTGATAGATTTTGACCCATACAAATGTGCACAAGTAAGTTTGGGAGGAAAACATCCCTATATCAACAAAATTCAATTTTCATAATTAGTACAGTGGACCTGAACATCCAGCTCTATCTGCCAAAAGCACAGACTCAAAGCATCCATATTAAAAGTGTCAGTGTGGTGCTAGACTACCAAGACCTTACAGGGAGCTTTTAACATCTGCTAGTCTGAGTGAACAGTTGCAGAAAGAGACTGAATTCACTGGAGCCTTCCTCTTCCTTCTGGGCTATTTAATTTGAAGTCTCATTCAATTTTTATGTTTTTTTGACAAGTTGCAATGAAATCCTCATTAACCCTCACTAACCAAAGGGAATGATTTGTTCTTCTATTGCACTCATAGACTCAAATGAACAAAGGTGATTTTATTTATGCATTTGAAATGCATCCTATGAGGAAAGGTGCTAACTGGTTGTCCAGAGACTACCAAGTTGAATTTATTAAACATTCCAGAACACTGTATCTGGCTCAGTTTTTGATTCAGACTGTATCTCCCATTTATTTTACCAGCACAGGGACCATGATATTGTAGACTGAGAAAGCATTTTTGGATGTCTGCAAACATCTATGTATTTTGGCATTGAAGTGAATTCTACTGAAAACCAAAAAAAAATTACCTACGTGCATCATCAGTGGCATAATTGCACCAGGCAGAGCTGTCCTCTAAGTAACAGCTGTATTAGTGAAAACTCCCGGCAAGATGCCTAATGGGCATGGAAAAGCAGGACACTGTGACAATGAGGTGCTGTACTATGGCTGGTGGTCATTCCTCAGAGTTTTTTTAGGCTGCTATACTGACTGGAGGGTCTCCTCCCAGTTTTAGCAAAAGGAAAGTCTTGCTCAAGCCCCTGTTGACAGCAGACTCATATGCTAACAGATCAGCTGCACTTTTGCCTCGAAAATGATTGCAGCAGCATGAGGCATTTCCTCCATAGTGCACCTGCATGGGAGTGGTACCCATATAACAATAAATCATGGAGCAGTTGGAGTGACATAACTATGCTGTCACGTTGCCTTTGACAAGTTTTTCCACATACAAAAGCCCTACAGATTCTTTCCCCTGTAATAGAGCCTCTGTGCTTTGGCACTCCATCAAAGAGAAGAAAGCTTCAAATCCTGTGGCTCCTGTCGATTCAGCTGCAGCTTTTTACCCATCAGGGTGCTGCAACAGTTCCATGTCACTGGCAATTCACTGATCCTTATGCAGGAGTCTCCCGCAGCTGCTGGGCACTGTTAAAGTTCACAGCATTGTTTATATTGCTTTTGTCCTGCTTAAAGCTCAGGCTGGAGATCAAAGCAGCAATGCGATAATTTTCTTCATTTACAGAAGCAGTCTGTTAGTCCTTCCACAGCACAGGGCGGCAACATTTTAACTTTGCTGGCAATAATGAGAGCATGAGGGACCCAGAAAGACTGAAATAAACAACTGTTGTGGTCAAATCATATCCAACAAGGACTGGAGACTCAGTAATGCAATTTCAAATGTTCAAGCTGAGCTAGTGTTGTCTGTGGAAAGATTCATTATTTCCTTATCGTTGTTCATAATACATCATTGGGAGAACACACACAGTCCTCAAACTGGTCTCCAAGAGTAATGAACAATTTTAAACCCCAGAGAAGCCTTATACTTGGAAATTAAAGGGTTCTGTTTCCTTGCTTGCTCTTCAGAATTTTTCAAAACCTTAAAAAGCACTGGAATGCATAATCTCAGACTCCTGGACCCTGCTCTCACCCCCTCTGAAGCATTTCCAGCCACTCTCAGCTTCTGCTGCTCTCAGACTTGAGAGGGCTCAGCCTGAGAGCATCATAGGCTGGATATGAAAGGTAATAAAGAATGTTAATACACTGAAGAAATGCTCAGATGAAAGCAGAGTCCCCAACCTTTGGCAGCAGAAGAAAGTGGATAATTAATACTTGAAGTGAAATTCAACTATTAATTATGAGGTTTACCTGTATCCTTTGACTTTCAAAAATAAAGGAAAATGCATAAATGCAGCATTATCTTTAGTTGCACATAACCAAGTAAAGATTAATATCTATTCTTGTTTGTTTAACCATTGCTTGAGAGCCGAAGATGTAGCCAAGTATACCTAAAACAGTACAAAAATACTACAGTATTTTTATAACAGTTCTAAAATACTACAGTAATTATTTGCCTTGCCTTAAACAAACCTTTTAACTCAGTGTTGTTTTATGTAACTGCACCAGTATCCAGAAAATCAGCTAAGGGTCACACAATAAATAATTGATACAAACGATTATATATATCTAAAGCAGAACTCTGTTTTCCAGGACTGGCAGAAGTATTTTTGAAAAATAATTATCAGTGATATTTGGTATATTCCACTATTTATTGCTCCCAATATGTACTAAAACTTATAAATAGTTCCTGTGTTTTCCACACAAATAAACCACTAAAAAGCTTTATATGCATATGAATAAGGAAACACATTAACTGTAATTTTAAAATTTAATCAACTGCATGCAGACAAAATAAGCAAGATGCCAAAATGCAGTAAAAGATGACATACAGATTTGGAGTTCCTTGGCTCCAGCACCAGCGAGAGCTTGTAGATATCATCCTCAGTGTGGTAGAGGTCCAGGGACAGCTATACGTAAGAAAGAATGGAAAATGGTAATATTTACTAGACTGGGCTGGATATGACAGGCTTTTAAGCTGAGATATACCTCCCACGGAAGCTAAACACGAGGTTTGCTACTCTGCGCTCAGGAGCCATGCCAAAGCTGCGTGCAGCTGCTGGGGAAGTGGATTTCCCCAGAGTGAGCACAAGCCAGGCTGGTGGAGAACACGCTGCTGCTCACAGCAGGCCCTGCACTCGAGGGCTGCCACAGTCCTCACCCTGACCCCACGGGTGAGAGGGGCTGCATGCTCACCTCATGCACAGAGGGACATAGGCTCCAAAGATCTCCCCTACACAAACCACTGTCTTCTAGCAGCTCGTGTTCGTGAGAGACCTCAGAGAAACAACCTGGTGAATGCAAAAACTTCAGGACAGTAGTCATAGCGGGGGCTAGGCTGGAAGGATTTCAGATTTTATTCTGGTCAAATTTTGTTCCTCTAGAAGGGTCATAGTAGTGCAGCTCTTCCACAAAGATCAGCCCATAGAGCAAATGCCTCTTTGGAAAGCCCTGGGCAGACAGAGGCCTGGGAGAGGCAGGCTGGGTTTGCCACTGCTGTGGATGCAGAAAAATGCTCCATTGAGAGCAGTCCCAGTGTAGCCCAGCTTGGCCTGCTCCTGGTCACCTCTCAGCAAGTCAGGCAAATTGTCTTCCAGCTGTTTCTAGATAAGGAAAAGATTTTTCTGTCATGTTCTCATTCTTTTCCCTGGAAGATTTATTGAGGAAAAAAAAGAAGGTACATAAATATACTTAAAGTAGGATGAATCTGTTTTTACTTTGGCAGCTGGAGTCTTGCACTGATCAATGTCTGCAGCGAACTCTTTTGGAGTGATGAAGGAGAAAGGTAACCAACACTGTAGCTAATGTTTTACAATGAGAGGAAACAAAGATTGCATGTTTCCTGTGATCATGTTCCTACATTAACTGGCTTTGAAGAATTGACACGATTTGAAGTTATCATCCACCTTGCAAATCCCCAGTTAAGTTGAGTTAAAAGGATTTTTTGCTGTTCCCGAGCAGACAGATAGAATTACTACTGACTAAATGACTATGACAGAAGGTTATTTTTAGAAAATCTGAAGTGCCAAGTAAATAGCAAGCAGGACCAGTGACATCTACTGCAGAACCACCTCTAGGCACCACCCTCTTTTAGGCACAATTTTGTGAGATGAGTAAGACAAAAGTACCCTTTCCCAAGATAGGTTCCCAAAGCAAACACATGGCTTTAGAGAAATCTGGAGATCACATTATTCATTTTATCTAGCTGAAACATTGCTGATTTTTGCACTTTGTAATTAAGGGTACAATGAAAGGCTGTGTATACTGCAGGTTCTTTTACCCAGCCAGCATGCTGCTGTCACAGGATTAGGTAAGGGCCTGTCCTAGAGACAAAATTGAGCCAGCAAATGCTGTAATAAATATTGTTCATGTGGTGAGATGTTCAGTGACTGTATTCTGAGGTCCCTTGGTGGCATAAAATAAGCAGCACTCCATTGGAGCGCATGATGTTGTCAGGTCAGACTGGGAGAGCAGAAATGGTAGTTCAAAAGGTGTTGTCTGGTTCCTGTGAAAGAACACAGTTTTCTCAGCAGGCCAGGTGAGCTGGGTGTGGATTTGGGAGTGGAAATGTATTAGTATTTATTGAGCAAGTTTGTAGCTCTCCCTCCCTGAATTATATGACCTTATCTTAAGCAGTGGATATAACTTCATTAGGCACAATGTGTAAGCACACAGTGCTTGTCTAGGTAAGCAGTTTCATACATTAGCACAAAAATTACAAGCATGATGATTATGCAGTTATGTAAGCATTCATTTTATATTTTATTTACAGTTTTGCTACGACAAATAAAGTATAATAAGAATTTTCCTAGAATAAGCTTTATAGTGAGGGGTAGTTTCTATTCTAATTTGACTATCATTGCTGTCCTATTTTTTTTCTGAGCAATTTGGAGTGGCATAGAGAAAGGTAGGGGAGTGATCAGAAATGCTGCCTTTTTTTTTTTTTTTTTTTTTTTTTTTTTTTTTTTTTTACCTAAGTGGAACTTACTGAACATAAGTTAGGGAGGGTGACTTTCAGTTTGATTGTTTAGGTAGTTCTCATTCTCTTCACTAGATTGTACAAATGCCTGGGACTTTCCAGTCATTTGCATATAGTCTCAGAACAGGCTAGATAAATAGATACTGAGATATAAAAATAGCAAGGGAAAAATGGTGGCACCGAATAAGATTTAACACAGTTCATATAAATACATGGTGGTCTAGCTGAGAAACTGAGATCCACTTCCAATCCACAGAAAGTGATGAAACATGTATGCACAGGTTTTATTCACAGTGGGGGAAAAAACCCAAACCAGTGTGGAAATACTACACAGCAGGTAAGGTTAAGTATCCTTACTAAATGTAAATTTTCTAAAGGCAAAACTGTCATTAAAGCTGTTTTTCCTCTATGTTGCACTGCCAAGCTTGTATTTAGGTCCTCTTTTACTACCTCTTAGCTCCACATTTTGGATTCCAGGGAGCCATACAGAGCCAGGTACAAGGTTCAGTGAAGGTAGAGCAAGTGTGGCTCGTAAGTCAGGAAAAGAGGAATAATCACAGACTAGGAGCAATCATGTACTAAGAAGTGAGACTATCGTCATGTAACGTACTCTGGCTCACTGGCAGCTGAATTGTAACACATTTACTTCACTTGTCCATGTAACTCAGACTCATTTGCACAGCCCAAGGTAGGACTTGCATTCCCCTTCAGCTTTCGTAGTCTCCTGTGCCAGGAGACACACCTGTCGTGTGTCCCTGCTTTCTATACACCAAAACTTTCCCTTGTTTGCGGCATGCTAACTTCCATGCAAAATGCTGGCTTTTTGCAGCTGCTTGCTAAAAGCTAAAGTTCTGTGAGCTAGAAGCTGACTTTTCATGCTTACAGAAAGATGAGATGGGCTGGAGAGGTGTGGGAATGGGCTGAAAGTAGAGTTCTGTGTGCAGACATCCAAGGCATGAGAAGATCAGCTTTCCAAACTGCTGGCCATTCAGCAGCTACCACTGAAAACAAGAGTCCTCTTGTTCCCCATAAATCCTTTTGGTCTATACTCAAAATAGCATCTTTAAAATGCCTGCACACCCCTTGAGGAATTGGCCTGAAGTTTACTACCCACCTCTCACCTAAGCATTTAACCCAAGTTCTTACTTCATAGCTCTTACCAAAGTCTCTCCAAACATCACCATTTCCAAGCCACTTGAAAGGTATCATCTCCCTTAGAGCAAATAGGACTCTACTGCTGAGGAAGAGAAAAACCTGGCCAAATTCCCACATGCCCATGAAATGCCCATTTTATCTGTTTGTGCAAGCTGTTGGACTAGCAAACCAGTGATTTACTTGTGAAGCAAGCACAAGCCAGGCACTTGCTCAGCGTGGTGTAAAAGGCAACACTGCAAGGGAGGGAGGCCAGGCAAGACATTTACACATTGCTTATCAGGACAAGAGACCAACTAAAAGCTTGCTCAGATAAAAGCTGCTCAATGGCAAAACAGCAGAAAGGAAGAAACAGTTGGCTCAGCCAATTCGCACACACCTAGAAAGCATTCTACACATTTATATTAATTTACTAGATTTGAAAGGGAGTTTCTCTATATAAGGTAAAAATGGAAAAAATTTACAGTTGACATTAGAGAGATAACACCTAGCAATAAATGAATTGTTAATTCTTCATGCTCTGAAAACTGAAGACGATGTAGGCAGCAGGAGAGGCTAAATCTGCTAACAGACCATTTGCACATAGCAAGGTCAACTGTTCTTAGTTGTCAGTTCTTGTCAGCTTTGGGTCACAATCCTTTCCTTGCCCTCTTTTTCTGAACCCAGCCAATGATCTAAAACTTTCCTTTCAACAAAAAGATAGACAGAAACATTTAATCTACAACATAAATCCATTATTTCTATTTAAGAGATTAGCACAAAAAAAAAAAAAAAAAAAAGTATTGTGTTCATATACGCTGATGAGGACAAAATCTACATACAGGAAAAAAAAAAAGAGAATATTCATATTATGGCATCTATCAAAATCCTGGTCCAGGAACTTTTCATAGAAATTTGTTGTGTTTTCTCTTTCCAGAAGTCATCATTTTAAATCAATACTCCTACACAAACATACTTGATCTATAACTACACTTCCAGTGACTGATATGAAGACAGAATTAGCCTGGAAAGGTTTTAGGTTACCTACACCTGTCTACCTTATTTATAACCCTCGATCAGGTCTGTAATCAACATTGCAGAATGCAACTTCATTTCTTATGATCAGATTGGCTCAACTGTAAAAAAGTCAGCAGAGTTATATTATGAATGAATGCATCACAGTATCTATCATATGTGAGAAAGTGTGCATCATATACTCAATTGTTTCTAGTAAATGGAATACACTGAAAGAAATACAAATAAAATCCCTGTAATTTTGCTGAAAACAAAGAAAACAAGGGAAATATCAAAAATTGAAAAAGAGGTATGCTATGTGAGCTCAGGCTGATACAATGATGAATATATGAAGACCTGCAAGGTCTTAAAAAAACCTTTAGCTTTCTGCTCCTTTTGGAAAACAGGCTGTCACCAAGAAGAGAGAACAGCTAATGAAAGTGGTGGTAGCAGCAATTCAGCTTCCATCTCTCACTTCTCATTGTCTAATTTCTATCCTTTTGGACTCACCTTTTTTATTGCTTAGTTCCCTAAAGCCTGAGGTTCCACTTCCCCCTATTCAAGGCCAAGCTTGTAAGAAATGACCAGGAAGGGAAAGAGTGTCACAAGAAAGCAGCTCTCAGTCACTACAAAAACAAAAGAATAAATATCTACCTTTATAGCTCAAAATTTAACTTAAAGGATTGTTGCAGGGTTCAACATCCGGTGCCTGCTCTTTCCTGTCACTAATCAGGATTAAGACTTGTTCCCAGGTTGTTCCACACAAAGCACAACTGAAGAAGGTTTTCCGAATTCCCCAAATTTTCCCAGTCCTCATTACAATGAAGCCATAGTTATATCTACACCAGCTTGGTTTCTCCAAGCTCAGGCTCATATTTGTCAGCTTCCTTAGTGTAAAACTCTATACCTGATCAGTCCCAGTATAAATCCATCACATTTTTATTGACTGGACAGGAAGAGTACTGTGTCACAAGGAAAGCACAGGGGAGCAAAAACAGAATGATGCTCAGGCTGGAATGTATCTCGTGTGTTGATACCAGCATATCTCCCAGCTGTTCCAGAAGAGACATAAGTCTCCATTCTAAGTAGTCAGAACTGAGTTTTACTTCTTCTAAATACAGCCCTCCATCTGTCATTCTTAAAAGAGTTAATTTATAACAATCCTGTTGCTGCTTCCAGCCATCCCATACGACTGTACTAAAACTCTGATTTTCTTAGCACCTCATGAACTTGTTTCTGGTTTGTATTTTTCCCCTTTTCCTTTTCAAAACTGAGATAAAAATATGCACTTAACTTTATAGATATGAGTATTCCTACTGACACTCAACACTTGAAGCACAGGAGTGAATTGAAACATGTTCAATACTTACGGTTAGCAGGTTAATTAAATCCAAATTAGGCTCTAAATGATGAGAAGCAGTTTGCAGGGAAACCAGTTCACTCAAGGTGATGGAAAGCTGCTGCATTTTTACTATGTTAACTTTGTTCTCATCTATCCAGTCAGGAAAAATTACATGGACAGCAATCAAGTCTTTCAAATGGACTCCTAAAATAGGAATTTTGAAGCCAACACAGTCAGCAAAAGCCTTGCGGTAGTTGCAGTAGTTTCCATTGGAGGAGACCAGCTCTGTCATTTCATTCCAGTCCTACAAACAGCCAGAGAAGCAAGTCCCTGTGAAAGCATTCATTGCATTTCCTTAATCTGTTTTAAATGAATACAACTCTTGTCAGGGTGTCGACAGTCTTAATTTCCTCTCTGGCAGAGGCAATCAACCAGAGGATCTCTCTGAGCTTATCCTGCTCCATTGAGAGGAATGCAACCAAGTGCCTTTCAGGATGCTCTGCCTTAATCCAAATATTGTGCTGGTGAGACACCTGCACTGTAGAACCCATCAGACCTCAAAGAGGTGATGCTCACCTCAATATGTCTGTATTCTGGAGTTCACCATACCTTTGTGACTTCTGAGGACAGATGAGAATGAGTCTCTTTCAGGCGAGAAATAGAGCTGTGGCTTAGACCTCCCACCACTGCCATCAGTGTGTTGAAGTTCTGGAGGTGAAGGAGCTTCTGCAGGAGACATTAATAATGCATAATTAAAAATTAACGAAATACAAGTTGCAGCTACTCAATGTCATACACAACAAGTTAAAGGAGTCAATCCATCATGGCTAAAACACAAATCAATAAACCAGGCCACATAACAGAATGGTTCAGCATTTTGTTTTAAAATTTGCTTAGGTCCAGAAGAAGCACACAATAGTGACAGTTGCCAACTGGAATACAACAAAGAAAAATTACTATAAAGTTATGACTTCTAGTTAAAAATTGCAGGCACACCACACCTGAACAAATAATCTCCAGTGATATTGAACAGGCTGCTCACTGAGGAGATAGCACAAAGAGCATCAGCTAATTTGTTTACTGTAATCTCCATTTATATTCCTGCTTTGTACTGGAAGAAAAAGACTCATCTGCAAGACTTACCTGTGCAACATTGATAAACTTTGTGATTACTTCTGCTCTTTGCTGGGGTGTTGGTTTGCTGAGAACCATGAGCTGGACCCATTTAGAGATACCATTAAATAAAGCAATAGATCTCTCCAAAGTAGGATTGTTTTCCAAGCAGCCATGGATCACATAGCTTTGATAATCTGTGAACTAAAAGAGAAAAGACACTTTCAGTAAAACAGTGGACAAACCGGAGAAACAATTGAAACTTTGATACTTTTCTTTTTAAATTTCATCTTGTTTAGAAAGTGACCATGATTCAGGGTCAGCAGACCCTGCTGCACAGTATCTCCTCCTTAAAATATTTTTGCTGTTGTTTTGGTGTGGCTTTTCCTTAAATGTCAACTTACAACTTCTTTGTGTGTCAGGAAATACAGAAACCTGCAAGATCAGTGTGATTGCTACTTCCATCTTTCCCATAATTTGCTCAACATATTTTATTCTTTGTAGCTATATTTGGCACCTTCAAGCCATGGCACTCAATAGGATCCTAAAAATTAAATTTCTCTAAATGTTTGAAAAACGGTTTTCAGCTGTCCCATAAAGGGAGGTTTTCAGTAACTTAGGACATCATTTTAGCTTGTGTAGGGAGTTGCTAGCACTGCCAGACAAGATGGATTTAGCTGATCAAAACCAGCCTGCTAGAAAAACATGAGGGCATATGCTCCAACACAGCAGATATTTGTCTCCCAGCTGCAGATAGTATTTCATTGTTCAGATAATATTTTTTGTTAGAGTTAACACTGCCCTTCCTTCTCCCCCATTTTTTTTTAATGAGTAAAACCAAACACAGGATTCAGACTAATCATATTCTACAATTACATATCTTTGAGAGAATAAGTGGTACAAGATCAATTAACTCTCACTGGTTGCAGAGGATCATCTGTGACAACAAAATTCAAGCTTAAGAATTAACAAAGAAGCTAGAAACAGCAAGAAAAAAAAAAAAGAAAATTCATTGCAGGTTTGAATTTTCTTCCTAGACTTCCCAAAGGAATGAAAATGCATCTTAAATCTAATTAGAAATCCATGCTCTTTTTTCTTGTCCTTCCCTCCATCTTTGAGTTTAGCATTGCACAGATCACAGTAGGGTGCTTTCCTATGATTTGAAGTCTAGAGCAATTAACCTTTGAACATTATTAAGTGACATCAAAAGTCATTCTATTTAGACTGGTCTCAACTCCTCATTGATCTCTATTTCCTTCCTCCCTTGAAACAAACAAAAAACCTCATACATACATTTTTCTTAGTTTGGGAGTTTGATTTCTCTCATGCTTCTGAACACTCTAAAAAAACCCTCATTTGTCATCTCGAGAACTTACTGCTTCCATCTGCCACATGATACACTAACATCACATGACCCTTTCATATGGATATTTGCCAGCAGAAATCAGCATTTCTTTTGGCATTTCTCTGACCCCTTTTCTTTTGTTTTAGCTTCAAATTTAGTTTTCATCCACTTTTGCCTCTTGTCCTTGTATAATCCTCTGTGAAAAAAAGCAAGTGTGCCTGGATTTCACTCAGTGTCAAAAATCATCAGGCACAAAAAGTCCTAGGAAGAGCATGGCTATGTATATAATATGAGAGAGTATAAGGATTCACTACACTGAAATGTTGAGAAAAAAGTCATGAATGTGAAACCATGTGAACATTCTTTAAAGACAGGCTCCTAATTGCAAGTGACAAAGTTGTGGGCTTCTTACAGAAATTCTCCTAAAAGATTTATGCTCCAGAAAAGTGAGATGTTCAGCTAGCTCAATGGGCTCCAGATGGTCAAACAACAGACAGGCTTTTCCTTTCTTGGAAATCTTCTTCCTCTGTGTAACTCTTCTCATCCAGTCATAGGAAGGGCTGCAACAGAATAGAAATACGTCTCAGTTCTGTTTGGGTGTATGTCAGTGTAGCCCACAGTTGGAATGTGTCATGTAAAATTGACCACAGAAGCACCATGAGACTTCTGGTCTGTGACCTCCAGCACATTGCAAACACTTAGAATGAGACCTGTTCCAGAGTGTAACAGAAGCTAGGAGTTCTGCATGCACTACTCCAAGTGATGTGTAGTAGCAGGTTTCTATCACAACAAAAGGATGACATATTCTTCCCCATGATACAGGATGCCATAATTAAAGATGCTTTAAAATACAAGAACAGCTCAAAACAAATTCTGATACAGAATAAAAACATACTTGAAAAACATCAAGGGTTAATTTTCCTCTGTAAGTCCACAGGTCCCCAAAGTAATGGAACAACAGAGACAGCCAAATACTGTGCATATTTTTAAATAAAATCTACAATATCATATGAGATGCAAAAGCATGCCTGGTGTTCATTCCAGCTTGCCAAGGAAGTAGCAGTTGTAGTTCTCCAGTTAAATAATAGAAAATATTGCAAAAAATGAACAGATTACACATAAGAAGACAAGGCTTCCCTGAGAAGATCTAATATTTAAACAGCATACCAGCCACCACATTGCTTGCTATTTTGTATGAAAATTTGTAGAAGAAAAGTAATATTAATCATTTAATTGGCACTTGCTTTGTCAGAAAAATAATTTATTTCCTGTTTATATGAAAAATTTACATACAGATAGAAATGTAGTTATTGTGTAACTATAGCTTCAAATTTTTAGTAGTTTCAAATTTAAAGACAATTTTGCAAGTGTTTTTTTTGCTCTCTCAAGATCAAGATGGGCCTTAATATTTTTGTACTTTGTACAGTACTAGAATTCTGCTGTTCCAGACATAAAGATGTCCTTGACATGACATCCTTACATGCTAGAGATATCAATAAGATGGATGTGATCCTCATATCCAAGCTGGTTGGCTACTTCTTGAAACTCTTCGGTCAAACGTATCAGCCCAAGATCCAAGTTAAACTCTGCAGGAAATTCCAAAATCCAGTATCTGAAATTCACAGACAGCAGTTAAGAGATGCCCAGAGACTCAGGTACAATATTCAGTGCCTGCATATATTTTACATACATTTTTTTTCATAGGACTTATTTCAGGACTTATACAGAGAGTGAACTCAGCCTGTTTCTTCTGTAATTATTTGTGACATTAAGGTGGCAAAAGCCACTTTATCTTTTAATTTTTTTTTGCTTAACTCACAACAGCACAACAAAGCAGCATTCTACTGAAATGCAAAATTAAAGTGATGTCTCAGGTGAGACCCTCAGAAGTACACACAGTGTCCTGACTCAGGCTGCCAGGAGACCCAGATAACACTTGCACTTAGTCCCTGTCCAAGTGAGACAACTTTGTCTGCTCAGAAAAGATTTGTCAATGAAAATGCAAATGCGCATTTGAGTGGCAGTTCTACCAGGAAAACTGTGTAAAGCAGATGCAAGCCACATAAGCTTACATGTAAAACATGCAAGCCCCCTCCTCTGTGTAAGGGGGCTGACTTCAGTAACCCTCTTCATTTTCTTCTCAGTTATGTAACTTCATCCAGAGGAAGGAGGAAAAGGCATTTGTTTGAGTGAAGCAAGTTATGTCATGATTACTTAAACAGTCATACTTTTACAGAGAAGTGTTCCTACATCAGAACAGCCCAACACATGAAAGCTTTCCCATGGAAACAAGGTCAGAGCAGCTGGTGCAAGGTTTGGAATACACCCAATGTGTAACAACTTTGTCATCACTAACACACTCCTGTCACCATAAATTATGTAGGGATTGCAAGGGATTGGATGAACTGAAGTCTACAATCCAGAGACAATTTTCTTCTCCCACACTATGTTACAGCTGGAAGCAAAATGTGTCTCTCCTCCTCGTGGCACTGAACTTGTCACCCTCAGACAGACTGATAAATCATAACACTCATGAGCCAGATAAATAATAACACAAGTTCTCCATCAGCTTTTTAGCTCAATGCAGTTAAGTGTCTTAAAAGTTGGATAGCTCAACTTAATTGTTTTAAACACACAGAAATTCCCTCTTCACTGTAGAACGGAACCCAAGTAAAAAACCCAAAAAACCAAAATTACATTGATAGTATTAACAGAACCATAACACCAAAAGGCTAGAGGACCAGAAGTGCATTTACCTCATGAAGTAGCAGATTTTCAATCTGAATTCATTGCAGTTCTCCCCATCAGCATCTCTGTAAGTATGTCAGCTAAAGAAAGCTTTGTGTGCCTTGACTCAGCAATGTTGTTTTTATCCACTGGAGGCTGATACTAGAGCAGCTGAATTTACAAAAGTATCAAACATTTCTTGTAGAGGTAACCACATTCTGCCTCTGGTATTTCATTCACTTTCACAGCATCACAGGGGACAGAGACTATTTCCTGGCTGCCCCTTTTTTTCCCCCCCTATCAAAAATACCTCTATTCTACACTTCTGAATATTCTGCTGAAAGGCTTCTTGCCAGCTCTGGCTAACCAAATATGATAATAGTTATGATTACTGAGTTAAGAGGTATAAATTATATGTATGTAGTTAGATATCACTGAAAATTCATAGTATTCAAAGGTCAACCTGCTGTGATACGCTTGAAAAATTATCTTGGCCTCCTATTTGCAATTATTCAAGATTGATGCACAGTTAGTATTCTTGTACATATGTAGAAAGCCTACAAAGTTGTTATGTGAGCATAAAGAAGCTCACAAACTCCCACCTTTTAGGTTGAAGAAAAATTCACCTCTAAACCTTGTTTGTCATTAATTAATTAGCACATTTTTACAAGCACTCAGGAAAACAATCTGCTTTTGACACTGTAATGCCAACTTGCGGCACTTTATGAAAGGATATGTGGACAGAAGCTTGCCAGCCAGCTCTGTGGAAGGCAGATACCACCGATGCATTAAAAGAAAGGTTCTTGGCAAATGGCTGGAGCATGGGTTTCCTTTGTCATCTGCAAAAGAGAAACAAGGAGTTAACCTCACCATAAAAGAGGGCAGCTTTTACTCTTCAAGCACAGTCTGACAGAAAGGATCAAAAGTGGAGATGTTGCCTTGTTATCTAACAAAAAGGTAGGAAAGAACACCAGAGCACAAGAATGCCCCTTGAAGAGTAACTTGCTAGAATGCAGTGACAGTTATTTAAACAAAGGAAAAAACCCAAACCAGTTCAGATAACAGGCCATAGTTAAAAAATATAGGGCATGGGCAGCACTGTGCTAAACTTTATATAGATAGTGCCAGTAATCTAAGGGACAAATCCAAAATTAGTCCATCAAGAGGACAACTACTGTACAACTGCTCCCAATATTTATTTTATTGCAACTTTATAGCTTTAAGTTAGCGGTTAAATTATTTTGAAAAATTGATCTGCTGCAAGGAATTCAATATTGAAGCAGTACCTAGTATCTCATACCTGTGCCAAAGGTCACATCTCCAGCTGCCTAACAGAGACCCTTGTGTCTTTGTAGTGTAGCCACTGAAACTACACAGAGTTATTCCCTGGCAGACCGGCTGACCATCGGTCTTCTCCAACATCTGTGATGTTAGATTATTCTGTCTGTCACTTTTTTGAAGACTGTAGATGATGTGATGTATGAAAACAGGAGCCACACACGGACTATGCTTGTCAAAAGAGTGTGTATACAAGAAGAGACACTATTTCCAGCAGCAACAAGTGCATGGGCTCTGCTAATACTTAAATGAAGTTCTAGAGCAGCCAGCTGGTGGCCTACAGAAGCAGATGCATGGGATTCACTGCAGCAAGGTCTGTCCATCCATCAATTGTTCAATCTCTCTTGCCTTTAGATACTTGTTTCTCTCTACATGACATATAAAATTAGTACTTCATTCCAATCAAAATCTGTCCTGCGTCTCCAGGGAATCTAAATGTAGCTTTGTGAATCAAAGCCCCATTTGAAAACACTTAATCCTATCCATGAACTTATTTGACTGTAATGTGATATATGGCATGATTAATGGTGTTATGGATCAAGGTCTTTTTCATCACTTCTTTCACTCAGACCTGGTACATCACATTTTAATAAGAGTAAAAAGATTACATGAGCCTTAGGTCATATTCTTACCAATTATTGCATGATGATTTGGAAAACCTTTAAAATAATGACTGGTCAAAACCACAGCTGTGTAACTACTCAAGACAAAGATCAATGCCAGAAATAACTCCTTGAATAATTTGTCTAAACATTTCTCTTGGTAAAGACCAGCATAGTATAAACCACCATACCCACAACTGTGCATTATCTGTATTAAGAAAATTTAATACGGTATGCACGTGATTAAAATTCTGGCTTGCATGATTCTGTGCCAAATTGAAACATGGAAAATTTTACAGAACAGAAATGTTCTTAGCCAAGAGAAAGGCTGGCTAAACCAGAGAACAGCGGGATTTATATTAAAAGATTAATTTCAATAACAACAAAATAAAATATTGAAAGAGCATACCAAACATTTCAATACAAGTGTTCAAAAGCTCATCTAATGTTGCAGCCTTTCCAAGAGTGTTTGACCCCATTGTCTTTTAATCGTTGTCAAAAAATAAGAGACATTTTCACCAAGTAGAAGGATGCTTCTTCAAATGCCCAGCTTTTTCACTTTATTTTGTTGGTTGCATTCTTAGCTGGACTTCAATGAAAATCTGAAGAAAGTAAAAGAAATCATAATTATATGACTATATGTAAGAATTCCCAGGATGCAATGCTTACAGTTCAACTCATCTTTTCTATAAACTGCTTTTTCCCCACATGATACGGAGCATGTGAAAGATTGCCATAAGCTTTCCCTACATTCCAGCCTGTGTTTCTAAGCATTGTCCAATTGTTTGTCCACTAGCACAAAATAAATCCATAGCTAGGGTCATCAAACAGAAACCAGATGACAAATGAGGACCTGCATGTACAATGACGCACATTTTGTTCAAGTCATTCTATTTACATTTGATAAGTCACTTTTCGTTAATAACCCTGCTTTTATGTTTTTAAGCATAACCATTTTCCCCTGAGGTTATTGGCTCATGATAACACTAATGGTCTTAATTGGCACAGATCACATAAAGTGTTTAATGAAGTTCATAGCAAACATTAAACTAGGAGGCAATTTTTCAAAGGACCCTAAGATCAGCTTTTTAAAAATAAAATAAATCTTCCCACAGTAGCTGGGCAGTCACTGAGACCTGAACACATACAAAAACTTCTAAATTTTATTATACATCTACTATGCATTTAAATATCAAATATCCATTTACCTGAAGATGCACAGAATACTCTGTTACAGGCTTTCAGAAGTAATTTTACAGGTTACATTTAAAGAACAAATCAGTACTTTATTATGTATCTGTGACTAAGCCCTACTACTGCCTGATCACACCAAGTGTTTGAAATGAGACAAACAAGTACATCCAGCAACTTATCTAGAAAACAAAAAGCCAAGAGCAGAACTAAAATAGTCCTTGAAGTGAAACAACACAGGAATTGGGGGAATTAATTTTCAGAAGTCATTGCCCATGGCATTTGTAAGCTGATCATTGCTGACTTACGCTAGATCCCACCTGCACCTCATCACCATTTAGGACACCAGTGACTGGCCAGGGGGGCTCTAGCAGCACCGTGCACTGCATCCCAGCAGCTGGGAAGTGTCCTGCACTGGACACTTCTTTACAGACCCAACCTCAGAGTCCTGCAGTTCTCAGCCTGTTTGAAGCATGCAGCAGTGTTTTGCTTGGAAGAGCTTCAAAATATTCTATTCAGCCAAAGATGCAAGTCATGTGAGGAGCAGCTGAGAGAGCTGGCATTGTTTAGTCTGTAAAAAGGTAGACTCAGGGGAGACCTTACCACTGTCTAAAACCACCTGAAAGGAGCTGGTAGCAGCTGGGGGTCAGCATCTTCTCCCAGGGAACAAGAAACAGAATGAGAAGAAATGGTCTCAAGTTCCACCAGGGGAAAAATTTAGATTGGATATTAGGGAAAATTTCACTGGAAGGCTGGCCAAGCACAAGCTGCTCAGGGAAGTGGCTGAGTCCCTGGAGGCACGTAAAAGATGTGTAAATGTGACACTTAGGGACATGGTTTGGTGATGGACTGGGCAGTGTTTTGTTAATGGTTGGATTTGATGATCTTAAAGTCGTGTTTTCCAAACTAAACAATCCTATGATTCTGTAGTATGGTTTTCAGATGTGTTCCTACAGCCAGGCTCTTTCTGGTCCCATCCAGCAATGATTTGGACATGACACTCTCTTCCCTGAAGCTTAGAGGAACCTGGAGGACGTAAGCACAACTCATGGATCAGTCAGTAAACACACAATGCCTCAGTCCAAGCCAACCAACAAGAAACTTGATCAGAGAGGTGCAGACATTGGATCCTGCCCCTTCCTCCTCTGAAAGAAAGTACTCTCCTCTGAATTTGGTGGTGCAGAACCCCCTCTTGAAAGAACATGCTTGTTTTTCTAGGAATCATACATAGATGATACTTGCAATCAGCCAAGTGGAAACGAAATAAATCCTTTCACATAACAGCATACAGAGCAGGCACTTAAGAAAAAGGGGGAGGTGAGTTGATAGTGGTCCTTGGCTTCCAAGCCTGTGTAGCAGATGTTGTCCTAAGGGTTGGCTCTGGGGCTGGACTGGCCTCAACACTCCCTGCTAGAGCTGGGCTAACACCGAAACTGAAGCGGTGCGAAGTGAACAAGACAATGCAGAGAGTTGTGTGACTCTCTAACCTGCTGGTCAGGCCACAAGAGCTATGGTTACTCTAGGGTTAATCTTTCTTCCCAGACTGTTTACGCATTTAAAGTGAAAAAAAAAAAAAAAAAAAAGTAAGAAGAACATCAGAACATTTGTTTCATTTTCTTTCAGAGTTAACCAGAAGCTGTGCAGTTTTTTTCGAGATCACAACCTTGTACCCTTAACTTTTGCTAGAATCCCACTTTGGGCATGTTTTTTCTTTTTGGTCATACCCAAATCCTCCTCTAAGTGCTTAAATAACTGGTGTAATTGTCACAAAGCCAGCTATCCAGCTCTTCCAGATTCATCTGACTTAGGTTTACTTTCTAGAGGAGAAAAATAAAATAAGTTGCCTTTTCAAAATATATAGTCAGTGCTTCAGAAAATTAAATGGGGAAAAACTATTGCATTTTCTTTCTAAGCCTAGAAAATTACTGAGAATGAAATGTAGGAGTGGAAGAAATTTGATCTGGCTTTTAAATTTTGTTGGTATTCCCATCATCCATAAAATATAGCATAGGAGAGTATAATCTCTGTCTTCCACTGACAACAGTATAAAGGCAGCCATATGGTAATAAATAAATAATGCCCTGGGTAAAATTGAAGGTTTGGTGGTCTTCTTCAATTTCACAACAACTATTTAAGTAGCAGACACCTAGAACCTGACACTACAGAGCTATCCTCCCATATAGCCTATCTGAAACGTCAGATAAAGGTCAGAGCATTATTATAATAATGCTTTTTAAAGAAGAATAAAGTGTTTCCACCAAGTGAAGAACTGGCTGACTGGGTCTGAGTCAAAACCTGATATCACATCTCTTGACTGCAGACTCCAAACTCCACAACGATTACATCATTACTTGTGTAATAAAGCGCTGCTCTTCTACTAAAACAATAAAGGAATTATCTATAACCATGCCACAATGGTATCCAACTACACACCGGCACCTGTAGAGATGGATGAGTAAAATACAACTCTAAATTTAATCTATACAAATTAAATAAACTATTTTATACAAGAAAGACACAAAATTAAAAATCAAATAGAATCATCACAGAGTATTTCTACAAATAAAATATTAAAATTGTTTTCAATATGTGGCAATTATTTAAAAATTGATTGCCAAAAGTGCAGTTGGACTTTCAAACAAAGATAACATTGAGAATCTCTGCCCTCATCTGCTTTCCAGCATAACACTGAAATATCTTATTGTCATCCAGCTGTTTCAGGGAATAATTGCCCACTATAATGAAACAAATAAATTTTTGCCTTATAATGGAATCATAAATCTGATTGGGTTTACTGTGATTAACATGGGCTGTTAAGGACACAAGAGGCACACAGTCCTCCACAGCCACTCATTCTCATTTCTTCATCAAGCCACTTGGAATTACAATCTCCCCTGCAAATCTTGCTGGTAACCCACCACATGCTGGGAAGGGTTTTCAGGGGATAATCAGGAACAGGTGAAGACTGCAACAGCAGCAATACCATCAACATAGACCTTAGCACTCACTCAAAGCCAACAGCTTTTTTTTTTCCCTTCATTTAAGCAATAGAAATAACCATAATATCCCTATGAACCAAGTCATGGTGTCAGGCAGGTTGTGCTTTATTTTATGCAATATTTCTATCATAGGATGTGCACTTTCTCCCTAGGGGGAAAGCAGAAAAAACTGCAGTGATGTGCTCAGAGGTTAGATGTTTGCTGTGGACTGAACTACAAAATATGGAGCTCCTTCCAAGTCCTGCCATCACCCTGACTGCCACATGCACATGGCTCCTTTGAGCAGATGGGTTTCCTTAGTACTTTTTTGCAGTGTAATTGCATTTTGTATTCAACATTTTGGAAGTCTTGAGATGATGCTATGGTGGACTGTCCTGCTAGATTACTTGTTTCAAGTATGTAGGCTGTGACCTCTTGAGACAGATGTGATCAGGTGCAATACATAAGTTTTTAGAAGAAACAGGATGCCCTGCCAGCAAACTTGTAATCTTATGCAAAAGCACCAAGTGATGTAAACAGGGTGGGCAGTGCGAAGCCAAGGTTTAAATGTTGGCTACTGTCATTAGTAAAACCAGAAGACTTTACTTCTACCACCGGAGGCTACTAAGGGAGGGGGTCCACACCCACAACCTACAGCAGTTTAAATAATATTACAATGCCAAGCCTGTACAAATCCATGTGTGGGCACTCAGGTAATTTCAGGCAAGTTGTATCAGTTACAGGTGCAAGCTAATTCAATAAGTCAGTTTTAAATAGGCTTAAATTTGACACACAGGGTAATATTTATTCAGCTAAATTAAATTCAAGCAGCTTTTTAGCCAGGCCAAATTAAATGTACATGTAGTATTTTCCCCATTTATTAAAAGTGGGCTATTTTCCTTCTAATTAAAGACAATAAATAGAAGCACATGCAAGGAGTCCCACCTTGATACAGAGGCACCTCTATGGGTCTCAGTTTATCCATAAACTTTCCAGATGCCTGCACACATAAGACTTGTATTCTTTACAAGACTAGGACATTCTTGGGGCTTTAAATAAGGCAGATCTCCCCTCCTCCAAGCCTACACAACACATCAGTGAATGCTTGCATTAAACAGCTTCCACCTGGCAGCTGGAGGACTGCTAAGTGGGAGCAGCTCAACAGGGAAATCCAATCAGTAGCAGTATGCAGAAAAAGAAGTTGAGAAGAAATCATGAGTCTCATGAGAATGTTTAAGGGTACCTTCCCTTGCTACAACTTTTTCCGTTGTTCTGTCTTAATCATATCCAAAGGAAGCTCTTCAGGACAGAGCTACCCTGTAGATGTAATGGAGGCTCTCACAGTAAGACCCCTCTGTTATTAGTCTACACAAATATTAGTGTAATTACCATAATAAGAATCCCAGGTGGGACTGCACCTGTGCCTACACACAAGCAATTCATCTGTTTGGGCTCAAGTCAGCACAGACCTTAGCTTGCCTATTGTGTGGTCCTGGAGTAACTCTCTCCCAGCAATTATTATTTCTTGCAGCTGCTCAGTACCAGTTTGTTTATTACAGTGCACATGGGGCTGTTTCTAGAAAACTCCGAGCAAGTGACACAGGGGGTCAGGTTTCTCCAGTGTGACACAGGCAGAAGCTGAGCTAGGCAGGACAGAGCAGAGATGCTGCACTGTCAGGCAGCCTGTTGCCCCTGCTTCTGCCCAGCCCCTGACCTCAGCCAGCCCCTGACCTCAGCCAGCACACGCAGCTGGCTGCGGGATGGCACATCGGGCTTGCCAATGACATTTGTTCTATGGAGCAGGGACACAGAACAAGGGGAACATTGTGGCACTGCTCCATGAACGCAGGACACAAGTCTTGCTGCGGGCAGGAGACGAATGAAGATGGTATATGGAAGTCTGGGGCTCATCTGACTTTCCAGTACTCTTTTGCCTTTGTTGCACACCTTCAGATCGTAGTTATGCAATAAACTACAGCAACTGTCTGCAGCCTACTATTGCTTTAATTTTTCTTTTTTTTTTTTTTTTGTATCAAAGGGGAGTTTCAAAAAACACCGAACAACAGAGTGGGGTATCTGTGTTTGAAAAGAAGATAGGACAGGTACTCTGCTGGTGGCTAGCCAAAGCCAATCCTTTGGTGAGACAGCCAGCAGTGCACGAGGTTCAGGGTCTGTACTCAGCAGTTTCTCTCCACTGCTGCTCCTATGCTCCTATTCTCACTCTGGTCCTATGCTCCAGCATGGGTTCTCTGTGGGCCACAGTCCCTTCAGAGGTGCACTTGCTCCTCCATGAACTTATCAATGGGCCAGAAGCTCTTCAGGGAAATACCTGCTCTGCCCCAGAGCACCTCCTTGTCCTCTGACCTTATTATTCCCTCTCTTCTTCCCTCCTCCTTTCCATTTGCTTGTTGTCTCCGTGTTTCCCCCTCCTCAGAACTTTCTGCCTTTTCTTAAATATGTTTTTCCAGAGGTGCCACAAACTTGGCTGATGGTCTCAGCTGCATGGGGTCCCTTGCAAAGACAGCTGGAAGTCTGTGTCTGATACAGGGCAGCCCCATGCCTTCTCCCACAGGGGCCATGCTCTGCTGCCAAAAACCCTTGCTATTTGCATCCAGTATAGCCTCTAACAGATGAGCATTTGTGCCTTAGCACAAAAGTATTCAAGTTACAAATACTCAAAATATATTTTATTATGCTTAATTTTGAGAGAAGGCTCCACTAGGCTTAATATTTACTTTCACAAGTCATCCAATCTACACAGAAGAGTATTATAAGCTATGTCAAGCCCTAAATATCTAGTCTTCTATGGAAACAGAGGTTAAATTAATAGGGTCACAGGTAAGAGCTCAAGTGGATATATGGATCCACTCCCATGGACTACCCAGGTGTTAGTTCACACCCACACACATAAGACCATGATGTTCATAAATTAGCCTATGGAGTACAATACATGCTGACCTAAGAAGAAAGAGAAGCTTACAGAAGTAATGAGGAATACCAATGGACAGTCACACGACCAAAAACTTTCAGTAATCAGAAAGTCACTTGATTAAGGCTTGAGCTGGTTGGATAGCATTTTGTTTAGCATTCTTCCTGTGAAACATAACCAAGAAGATTTCAGAGACAACAGACCACCTCTACTATCACCACCCCCAGGTTTTCTCCTTTATAATTCACCTAAAATAACAGACAGCTTAATAACTGGATTTGGAAAAACAACAAAGGTTACATTTCTAATAGCAATACTAGCATTTTATGGAATTGGTTATCTACCCTACTTTATGTTTGTCCCATCCATTTCTAAATTCATTTCCTCTATATACTTTGTTAGTATTTGCCTCTGTAATTTAACTCCAGCTAATAAATGGCAGGAAAATCTGAGCAGACATGCTTGGTTTGTTCCATATACTATGCTGATGACATCTTCCACTTTCCATGCATCAAGGTAGTAGAGTTGCCCAGAATGCATCAGGTTAAAAGGGAGCACTAAGGAAGACTTTAGTTTGTTTTCAAAAGAAGGGAAACTCCCAGCCATATTTCTCTGTAGATTTGTCATGAAAATGATTTTGCTATTCCCAGTAAAGTCAAATTACCAGTATTAGACATTTGATTAACATGTGTGGCACCAGTGGATACAGCTCTTCTGAGAATCTTTGTGCTTCAGACACATTAGCAATCTCCAGCACTGAGGGAGAGGACAGCAACAGCAATAAGAGTTTCACACACTCTAACTTGATCTTTTTTCAGAAGCCAAGCAAAACACTATCAAAACCTGCTACAAGTTATCCTATTGCCTGTAAGCCTTCTAAGAAACTCTTAGCAATTACCTTTGCTATTCACAGACTTGAATAGAGCATCTTTCAACAGTAAGTCTGCTTTGTTAGCCTTGTCAAGTCAGGGTTAAAATACATCTTTATCAGCATATATTAACAACTCATTACACTGTTCCATGCCTATAGTGAGGCTGGTCCATCCCAAGTGAAAACCAATTCTTTTAGATGTTTTATAAAAACATCTGGTGAAGTAATCAACCTTTCAGTTCTGAAAGAAAAACCCTCAGATTATTTATTACCATATATCTGTTACAAAATATTTTAATATTTTATTATTGTTTACCTTAACCAGCTATGTTCTCTTCAAGACAAGCCAGAAAAATCACATTTATTAATTAGATTACTAAGAAATTATAGGCCCTATCTGCTTAGACTTTCTTATATATTCAGCTTGAAAATCTACCACAACACTTGTAATGTCTTATTTTTAACTAAGCCAAAATTCTTCAGTAGTAGCATAGTCCCCGGGTAGTGACTTTTTCAAGCTGTGAAATATTCCAAGAGTTAGGACAGTTTTAGAAGTCAGCACTGCTTTTAGTTTCATACAACTTTTCAATCAATTTTAAGGCAAAGAGGAGTCATAAGATCATGTAACTCCTATTAAAATTCAGCAAGTTATCAAGGTATCAAGTTCTTGTCAAAAAAACCCATAGCTTCTAAATAATTTTTGCTTTAGAAAAAGCTTTTTTCACTCCATATCATTCTGTAATTTCCATTTGTTTCCCACTGTAGACGAATTTCCCATGGAACAGTACTTTCTGGGCCCCACAATGGGAGACAGCCACCCTGCAAATATCAGTGTCACCCTTTGTAATGATGCCACAGGAATTGCAGACACATATGGAGCTTCTCAAGCCCACCAAGCTCTACAGGCTTCTGCTGGTCACCCAAACAGTAGAGATTATAATTAAGTATCCCAAAAAGTAAAATTTTAAACCATTCTCCCTCTTCCACTGGCCATCTCTGCAGCTATGTTATATCATGGTAAGAAAAAATAATTATCTGCAGTCACAGATACCACTAGGGAGAATTCAACACCTCCTACTTACCTGCTATCATTTTCAGCAATGATGATCATATTTGATTTCTCACTCTTTCTGGTTTCTGGCCTTTCACAAACTGAAGAAAAACTGCAGTTACTGTACATCTACTAAATGCAAGAGTATCACCTTGTGAAAAGGGGAGGTTAAGTGCATGTTCCAGTTTTTCTTCTTCAGTCCTGTTAACCCCTATATTCCCTCGCATCTCTCCCCATGGATTCACAATCTATACCCACCCTAGTGTGAGGAGTGGCCTCCCTGTGTAGTGAGAGCAATTTTGCTGCTGACCTTTCCTCCTGTGACTACAATCACAGCCTAGATTGGCTTCAGAAATGTCTCAACTACATATTTACAGCCTGGGAAGTACTTATCAGTGCAGTATATGGAAGGCAGCAACTGGTAAAACAATAAGGGCAGGAAGAGGCTTTCAGAGACTTAAGTAATGGGAAACTGGATGTCTGAGATGGAGCAAGACAGAGTTAAAAGGACCGAGGACAGGACAGAGCTTTGGCTGCTTTCACTGGTTTGGCTGTTACCGTGCATTTGCAATTGGATAATCCTTTTGTTTTCCCTTTGATGAGCATAGGAAATGGTTCACATGTAACTGCTATTTCCCCACGGACCTGTTAATAGGTCCCACACTAGGAGTGTGGCTGGGCCAGTTGCTAATGGCCAGCAGCAACCCTTCTCAGCCCCTGGTGGCAGCTGCCATTCATTGGGAGTGTTGCTCTTTGGGGAGGGAATGAAAATGAAAATGGCACGACACACATGGCACAGCCAGACCCGCTGCGTGACCCTTGGAGCCCGTGCAAATTGCAGGCTCCTGCACGCTCACACCGTGCAGGGCTGCCCGCCTTGGGTAGTGCTGAGGTTTTGCAGATGCAGAAGTCATCAGTGCCTCACGACTCACAGACAAGCAGGCCTGCAAGAAGCTGGTAGATTAAAAACACAGCCCTGAGGTCAGGAGAGATCCAGTATCTTTCTTTGTGGAATTCTGTCAGCAGATGCTGGGCATCAAAACACATAAGCAGTTTCTCACCTCTAGTTATTATTTTTGGGTTTCCCTTGGGAATATGGGTGGAACGATGGCAGCTTCAGATTTTTTAATGTTGAAATAATTAATAATAATGGACCAGAATTAGTTTTATTAATAACCATGTATCTTTCTAACAATAAGACAGCTTGCAGCCAGCAAGAGTAATGCCTTCTTTAAGAAGAGAATAATGTACAAATGTGCTGTATATACAAATATACAGAACAGGAAGACAGCATTTTAAACACAAGGCATACAGTGCTTCTTAGGTCAGTTAAGAGTTTTTTTAAATACTAAGCCCCCAACAGAGAAGAGCAGCAAAGAGATTATTACCTGGTTTCAGTGTGTCTGACTAGATTTTGTACTCTTTCTTCAAAGGTAACAAAGCAACCATCAGTGAGCTGAGTAAACTTTGTTTCCTCACAAAGCAATCTATTAAGAAACATGCACTGGTTAGTACAAACATGAAGAAACAGCAAACCTCTAAAGCTATTTATTATACAAGAAGTCTACAGAGTACAGGATATGAGAACAGAATCACCACAGTACAGGATATGAGAACAGTGTCACCTATATTCCTATATCCAAGCTCTTGGGCCAGAGTGAGTTTTATTAATAACCACAAACCTTCCTGACAATAAGACAGCTTGCAGCCAACAAGTTAAATGACTTCTTTAAAAAGAGAGTAATGTAAGAATGTGCTGTATATAAAAATATACAGAACAGCAAGACAATTAGAAAAAGGGGAAGGAGCAGTGTAAAAACAAAATCTCAAAGAAAAAAGAGGAAAAGCGTCTTACAGTTCCTGCTTTAATAAGTAATGCTTCAAACAAGTAACTTTGATATTTATTTTGCTAATGCTATTTTGGCAGTTATATATTTACTGTATGAAAGAATATCCATCACAGGATTGCAGTTACACAAATATCCCACTTCCACACTCACAGAACACACTACTACCATAGGAACTCAGAAAAACAAACCTTATCAAAACCCTTTGGCTGAGTTTCAAAAGCTCATGTCTTAAGATACAACACTGTAATTCTTTAAAGCTCATGGATGTTGAAAAGCAACAAGAGCAGTTGCTGTAGCTGTAACAGCTGAGAATCACATACTGCACCCAGTACACTTTTGGTGTGGTAGACAAAACCCTGCCAGTTAATTGGTACATAACAACTTTGTAGTGGCCAGTTCAGACCATCCCAAGCAACTTGAAAGACTCTTACTGAATTAATCCAAACCTGGGTTTTTTTGAATTTATAGAGGACACCTATAACTCTTTACTCCTCAGCATACAATTATCAAATTTAAGGACCTTATCAGAATTTCATTACAGTTCTGCTAAACTCCAATAATTCTAAAAAAAAAAAAAAAAAAAAAAAAAAAAATCCCGTGGCTATGTAATAAAGCTAATATCAAGTGAAAAATGTAAAGGGAAGAAATTAAAGGGTGAAGGGGTTGAGAAGATCTTGATTTAAAAGCTGATTTAGAGGCTTAGGGACTTGTTTTTCTACCACAGGTATTTAGCATTGAAACATTGGCTGCTGTTGAAGTCAAGTTTTCAAAACAGCTCAGTCCTTTTCAAGTGTACTTACAAGAGCAAACTATAATTCTATAAGCACCAGTATACCAGGTAACCATGCTCAAGTCAAATTTTACACCAATTTCTAATTAGTATCATTAAATCTGTTCAAGTATTCAAAAAGGAGATGGTTTTGAAACAGACATGAAGCAAACTCAAGATACATTAATCTGAAAACCACGTCTCTTATTTTAGTTCTGCAATGTGAGCTGAGAACTAGATCCAAAAGAAGGATTAAGAGCCCAAATCCTGGCTCCTTTTTACTTCTACAGCCTGGCTCCAGGGGTATGTTTCTCAGCCTGGTCTCACTTCTCACCTCCTCACCCCAGAAGGTGACTGTCTAGAACTTGTAAGCTCTTTCTTCACTTTTGATATTAAAGCCTGAGTCAGTAATATCAAGAAGCTCCCTACTTAGGTCACTCCTAAATCCTTCTGGGATCTGTACACATGAAAGTCCTCTGCCTTGTCTGTGCTAAGCATCCTTTAGTCACACCTAACATGTCAATCCCACACTACATAGGTGCAGTCATGATGCCCAAATTCTTTTCCCCAGAGCTCTGAGCATGCCTTAAAGCCATGACAGGTACAGGATGAACTCTGCCATTTAATGGAAGGATTGCAGATCTCTCATTACCTTGGCTGAGACTACAGAGGAGATTTATCATCCTCAGAACCTCATGTAATTCCACGTTGCTTGAAATAATGAAATTTCTTTGGTCTGCAGGGAGCAAGCAAGCAAGAGCACAACTGTGCAATTTAAGGGGAAGAGCATTCACTCAAGAAGAGGGGAAAAAGGTGAATTCTAGTTCCTGCCCCAATTCCCACTTAAGATAAAACTATACAGACAGTCATTAGGGCAGGTCTGGAAACCAAGAGTTTTAGGAAGGGTGACAGCTGCTCCAGGAAGTATGTGTTCATGAATTCAGCAAAGTAGACCATGAGTAAGCAAGCTAAAGCAGGCAAGACACCTTTACCAGAGGAGATTATTAGTCTTTTAAGGAAGCTATTTCATGAACAGTGTGATAAGGCTGGAACGTCATGGCTATTCTGATTTGGAGGACAAAAACCACTATATATCCAGATAGTGAGTTGACTCAAGCCCTAATTCAGCAGACTTTTTCTGATGTAATTTTCCTCACTGGTAATCAATTATGTATTTGCATAAGCTGGGTTTTTTTTACTTCTAACTAGCAACATCAGAAATTTCCAAACAAGCTCTGGGCTTGAACAATGTGTTGCTGTGAAACAAACAATTTACCAATGTGTACCACAAGAACTAGCACCAAGATTATGAATTGGGTGGACCTAAGTGAATTATGGGTTATGAGTAGAAGCCTTTCTGTAATAATGCTACTTCAGATTAGGGATATTCAATTTGTTGAGACCAGAATTTAAGCTGGAGAAATGTTCATCTTTCTAAAGAACACGAACAAGAACAGCATTATGACAAAGAATTTACGAATCTTTGGTCATGTGTCAAAGGCAGCCTTATCAGCATGTTTAGCAAGCATGCAAATACCCCCACATACAAGCCATGTTCTGTCCATTTGACCATATCATGTATGACTTACTTAAATTCCAGTCTCTAAGACTGATTTATATGTTGAAAATCTTCAACCTATTTCAGGCATGGGGAGTAAAACATACTTCAGAAATAATGGAAAATCCTTGTTCATCTTGGAGATCCTGTCCCTGCACACACTTGCACTCCTGACTCCCTTGCACAAGCCCATCACTGCTCTGAGTGGAACAGGGTTCCATAGATGGGGTTGAAAAGAGAGGCAGTTTTAACAGGAGTGGAAGGAGTTGTATATGGAAATGTATTAATATATATAACATGTTATATCAATATATGTATATCAGCTACTGTATATTAAGCTTGGTAAGACTTTTGTGGTAGTCCAAAGCAGACATACTCCTGAATCATTAATATTAAATTTGTGTTAATTTAAGATGATACAGCTATTTTCTCTTTGCAGGAACTAAATATATGAGGTATCTGAACAAGAATAGCTCATGTCTCACTAATTTTGCACGTATTATTATGCCTGGCAGATTCTGAAGATGCTGAAGCCCACTCCCCTTGCCTGAGAAACTCCAGATTATTAGCAAGGAGCATATGCATAAATGGCAGGTGGGAGAGTACTCTGTAGAGAGAGTCAAAGCATTTCATTTATTTGAATGTGGTCAAGGGGAGCAGTTATTCAGAGAAGTGAGACAGCAGATGGCCAACCAAAACAACCAGAGTAGTTCTCAGGGGCAATTGTATTTTCTGCTGAGCTGTAAACATCAGCCTGTGGGTATTTCCACACACCCACATGTTGATCCTGACCTCATACACACTTCGAGGTTAGCTGAGCTTTCTGATGGGATCTCTCATGAATTCAACTCAGTAAATACCTATGTGTTTACAGGATTAATCTTTGTAGCTGAACTGGACTCACCAAATCTGTTTTGCTGATGTTGCAGGTGCTTGTAGCTGAGAGAAAAGAGAAAAGTTGCAACACCTCTATTCTGCTGGTCAGGCGGTTTTTAGATATGTTATACCAATAAGAAAAAAATTAATGAAAAAGTACTACTTCACTGGCTATTCACATTGAATTGAAAAAGTACAGAGAAAAGCAATGAAGAGTGAAAACCAGAAGACCTGAGAATTTGTTTCAGGCTTTTGATTCAAACTCTTAGGTATAAAACCTTGCTATTTCTGACTTGTAAGGAAGAGCCAACTTGAAAACAAATTTATCAAATTCAGCAGTGAAAAGTGAATATGCCATAAATTTGTTAAAGGAAAACACTCAGTGCAAGTTGTTTAGAGTACCTGTAAAAATGTATTGTAGCCAGGCCTGGGTAGTTTAGGAAAATAAAAAAAATTACACAAGTGCCCTTACAGTATTTTTAAAAGTAGTTTCCTCTCTTTATTCAAGAATATCCTGGGAGTGGCTCCTTGGTACAATGGCATTTTCAGCTAGAGAGAGGGGCTAGCACAATTGCAGCTGCTCCTCAGCTACATGTTTTGATATAGAGCAGAAATATACCCATTCAGAGAACTGCCAGGCTGCCCTGATCATTTCCTCAGAGTAAAGGGAAAAAAATTTAACAGGAACCTTGTGACACTCTCAGTGACAAGGGTTTGCACTGAGTTTCTTCACAGGGACAGCAATGTCCCCACTGTTACCCAATCTCCTGTACAATGTAATAAAAAACAATCCAGGTTAAACTTTCATATATTGGGCCTTCTAGAGACCCATCAAGGGGAAATGCAAGGGCAGAGCCCTTCCCCAAACAAATAATGCAGAAATTTAATTGATGTGTTGCATGCCTATGCAGACCTGCCTTGACTTACATGAACATAATGGGGGTGTATATTCAAGAAGCTGAGTGCTGTTTTTTATGAGATCAGGATATTATAAAATAATATAAAAAGGTGGTGGTACAGAGGTTGTGTTTTCTGCACAAGTGTAAAATAAGTGTGTGCCCCAGTGGTGTTCCATGTCTGGTGTTGCAGTGACAGATATTGCAGTTAGAATTCATGTGAAAAGCCAAAAAATGAGGAGAGCCTGAAGACTGCACTTATTTCTCAAAGTATAACGGCTGTGTTTAACAGTAAATACTCTAGCCAGAATGAGTTAGTGATAAGGATTGAAACAATTACACTCTTGAGAATCTTGTGATGTTGATCAAGCTTTCTTAATTTTGTAGACAGAGAATTTAAAATCTAGTCGTGAGTCTTGAATTTAATTCAGAATCAGATACAGTAAAGACAGCTGGAAGCTGTAAAAAAAGCAGGGTTTTTTCCCTTAAACATTGCAGATCCAAGTGATGAATTATTCTCCTCAATTGCAAATTACCTTTATAACCAACAGTAAAGAGGCACAAAACTGACCTCTCCCAACCACATTTCTTTGAGACAATTCAGTTACCACTGTAACAAGATGTTTTCAGACATTATTACCTGAAGACAAGCTCAGTATTGCAGTTATCTAATCTTTACTTTGCAATCACAATTTTGTCTCTTTTATATCACGCTTAACTCCCAGCTCTGCCAGAAAATTAATCAGCTACACAAGAAGCACACATAGCTGGCACACAGTCCAGCTGATGCTTTACATCAACCTTCTGCACCAATGATGGCACAGTGGTTGTGGAGAAGCAGTGAGGAAGAAGTTACAGCAGGTATGGACTGAGCTCATACCTGTTATCTGGTGGATTTAGGGTTTAACTTAGGTTTACAGCAAGTCCTGGACAGTTTGCTTAACACAAAGCACTCATTCCAAATACAAAATGCAGTGTCTGGAAACAAGCACACCATGGCATAATCCTACTCAAAATCAGAATTCCTCAAGTTCTGTAGAAAAATAAACTTATTCTGGGATCAGAATAAAAAGTGACAGGAAACAAGTTATTCTCCCTGCCCCACGTGGAATGGAGATGTGGACAGGCTGGAGGGGCCACATTGAAGTCTACCCTTGGAGACACAAACAGTCAGGACAAAAACAGACTTCTGGTTTTGTGAACAGTTGAAACCAATTGATATTTTCCTATAAAATTTCTAATTAACTGTCAAAATTATAAACTGTGGTTTAAAAGAAAAGTAAAAGTCTTAAAAGAGAAATAATGTTCCACTTTCTTATGAAAGAAATATTTGAAAAGCTTATTCTCCTCGTCTTTAAAGGAGAGACCTTCCTCAACAGGACCCCACTGCTCTGTCTGCCCCTCTTTAACCTTCCCCAGAGCACCTTAGTCTTATCACATCTCAAGTTCCATCACTCATTCGCCTGTTCCCGTTACTCCTAAGTAACCTCTAAGTTTCTTTCTCCAAAGAAACCTGATTCATCTCTACGTAAATAATTGATCAAAAGTTCCTTTTTATGTATCCTACACTCTGGCTTTGAAAAAAAACTTCAGACCGTGAGAGTCAAAAATTATCAGACAAGGACATCAATCTTTCATGAAGCAAAACAACAAAACATGCAAGTACCCAAAAATAAATTGAATTAGGAACTTGGAGAAATTTAGGAGACTCCTTCCCTGTTCTTTGCAATCTTTCAATCTTCACAGTCTAATTATGCATTATTATTCAAAATGGCTCAATAGTATCTTAATCAGTACATCTTCAGTCTTCCTGCATTTGTCTACTTGTACCTTTTGCTTTTAAAAAAATCTCTCCATTCACCCTCAGAAAGTAACCAGTCACAAACAATTTTGCTCAGATTGATCGTACTGTTTTGAGGGAGTAGCTCTGTCAATCCTTTACACTAGTACTTTTAAGCCAAACACTGAAATGTCTCCATAATCAAGTTGCATCACTACCTACTGACTAGCTCTACAGAGAAAGGAAAATACAATCATCATAAACAACCTCCTCACTCCATCATCTGAATAAATAAGCACCACAGTCCCTTCCTGGCTAGCAGGAGGGCGAAACACTGTACCTGCCTTGTTCCCGCAAGACCGAAAACAATGCTGTTAATTACAGGTCAGAAAAATGCAGGAAATCTGAGCATGAATGACTGCTTATCAATGAACTTTCAAAAATATGCTTCACTCTTTCAAATATTTTTATGAAAGGTCTAGGATGAAAACGGGAAAGCAGTGACAGTTTAGGGAAAAAAAAAATCAAAAACAGGGAAAATCACTTACTGTACTTGGTTCTGCAGAGGTATTCAACACAAACATTGCCCTTCCTTGTCCAGCTGCCAAGTGCTAAAGCATGAAATGAGCAGCTGTTTCCTTCAAGCTGGGGCTGTGTGTCTTAACTAGTCACATGCCCCTCCTGATAAACCTCACTGCTGTGCCAGGAGGTTAGAATCTGAAGATCATTATTCCCCGTATTAAAAAATCCTTTTCATAATAGCAGCCTTTGCTAAAGCATTTGACTGGAACGTGGCGCTATGTGCTCCATAACTTCTGGTTTTTTGTTGGTAGATTTTTTTTAATGACTAACACAGTAGATAAGCCTTAATCGACAGTAGGGGCAGCACAAGTGGAAAGTTAAACACATCCCCGTTGATCGCTTCAGGTTTTTTCCCCGACTTCAGACTTTGCTGTATTTTAATACAAGAATTTAAACAGGAACAGTAACATTTAAAACACTGTTGCAGTCCTAGTGTCTTTAACACCAGGCCACTCCAGTGATCATGCAAAATACATGAACAATCCCACTTTTGGGGATTAGTTGTTCTTAACGGTAACGTTACACACTTTTGTGTTTGGACAGTAGATTGGTGAGTATTAATACTGGAGATAATTTTAATTTTGGCATCTGGTACTTTTACATCATGGATTATGTGGCTGCATTTTGCCAGACATCATATAATCAGACTGAGACAGACCCTCTGGGGTGAAGACTATCAGTCTAAACAGAGAGAGCAAAAAAAGCACCTTTATCCCCACATTCCCAGATGTAGGACAAATGAAGGAGAAATACTGAATTCAAGGAAGGAACAGGTTTTGATGAAATTTTCCAGGGTGATATGTAGTCACACATTACTGAAATTCAACTGAGAATTTACACTTAACTCCCTTTAGCTTGGTCACATATTTAAAGATATTTAGGTATTTAAGGACAAAGGCGTACAGTCAATGGTATTTCAAGGCTGAAATGCAAAAGATCATTTTCTGAATTTCTGGAATTCCCATTTCACATATAGGATACACCGTGCTGAAACCCTGGCAGTACCGCAAATTGGCAAGATTGAAAGTACACAGGCAATTGCCCATCAGCATAGGATGTGGTAATGGTATTTTGATGTTTGGTAAGCAATCCAGGTCCTGCAAGACAGCACGGTCCCATTGGATTACAAAGGGCATTATAGGGCATTTTTCTGAAATACAAACTGCACCAATAAATAGTGCTGCAACCAAGATTTGGGCAAATAAAGGGAATTTCTCAGAGCCAGGTGCCTGTTTTTAAAATTGTTAAAATAGTATAGCATATCTAACTGGCACATTTGTCAGAATCCATTGAAAGACAGCAAATCCCTGAAGATGAAGTCTGCAGTGACAAAGGGTAACTCAGGTCACTTCCTTTGACCTTACCCGCTCTTCATATTATATAAACCAGCACATGGTTACAAAACCATGCAGCCACTGGCGCTGCCAGCGTAGCCTGGAGCAGGGAAGAAGCCCTTGTGCTAATTACCCACGCCTGCCTTTGTGAGCTTCTCCAGTTTCTTGAACAAGTTTCCAGAGAACAACTCCGGCCTTGAAGGCGCTCTCTCAGCCCAGCCAGGCATGGGTGTACCCAGCTGTGGGGAGGCCAAGGAGCTGGGAGGTTGGGGTTCCTCCTCCAAGGGCTTGAGCTTTGCATGAGACCTGGCCTCCTCTCAGCCTGAGTGAGGGGGTCAGTGCAGAGGGAGGAGGAAGGCCTGGAAACAGGGAATATTTGCTGCGGGTGTGCCCTCATGTGCAGTCGGGCTGGGCAGCCTCAGCAAGCTGCTCCTCGTGGTGCCCTGGGAGACTCCAAGAGACTGTCCCAGGGAATGGGGCTCCGTGACCTAGCTCAGCTGCTGAGGAGGCTTTAAAAAATGAGGTTGTAAAAATGATGACTTTAAAAATGAGAAATTAGCCCTTGAGAAACGAGTTTGTTTGAATTTAGGCCACTGGAGGAATGGCAATTTCAAAAAGGGAGTGAGAGCTGCCCTGGCAGAACTGAGCTGGAAGTGCCAGCAGATTCTGGCCATGGATCTCAGAACTGGGTGTAAACACCAGGGCTCACTCAGAGAGAGAAGAAAGCACTCACTGTGCTTTAACCCACAGCCCATTGACCAAATGAGTTACCCTTGATAAATGCCATTTGATTTCCCCTAAAATGCACTGAGATTAAGGGTAACAGAACTTTACATGCAGCTTTAAAATGACAACTAAATTTCTTTAAAACTTTGTACAAAATTACTCCTTGTTGATACTGAAGAAAACTTGACTGAAATGTGTTGCAAAATAATCTATTTGTTCACAAATACAATTTTTGTCATTTTTGTCCATTTCTCTGATTATGCAGTGTCAACTGCACTCTTACATTTTTCAGCAACCGTTCATATAATTGATTAAATACTGGTAGTACCTGGGCCATTTGAAATAGCAGAGAGTACAATGTCATCACACTGCACTGAATAGCTCTCTCCATTTGGTAGTCATGCTCCACAAAGGAACATAATTTCATGATAAATGACTGAATGGCAATATCCCACAAACCACTTGGGATACACTCCATTAACAGAAAAGTAGCCTTTGTACTTTCTGAAATGAGTCGACAAATAAATTTATTTTTATGGCTCTGTAAATACTGTCATAAACTGCAGTTTATGTGGGAAAAAGTCTATCCTCATGCTATTTTAAGTCATTAAAATGACTTAAAATATAAAATAGCACAGATAATTTTAAGTCCTTGTGAAACAGAACAGAGAAATAATTTGGGTGTAATTCCTGAAAATAAAGGTCTTAACAACTTTGTGGAAGTTTTCATTTGTTTCTATTCTTTCCTGTTTTTTAAAAGAAATACCGGCATACAAAAGAAGATCAGGTAGTTAATGCAGCTACAAAAAATTAAGTGTTCTCACATTTATCAGATAGCATCTTAAATATGACAAAAACTTTGTTGTATGGAATACAACAGTATTCTGCCTCATCTTTTTCTTGAGAAAACAAATGAAGACTGGATTGAAAAGGGTACATTTCTTTCTCCATGGACATTAATTTGTGAGTAGGACATGATGATCCTTGTGGGTTCCTTACAACTCAAAAAAATCTGTGATTAATGCCTCAAATAAAAACTAAGAGATGAACACAGATTTCTCAGTCATGCTGAAATGTGACATGAGAAATACTGAAAAGGAGCAATAAAAAATAAGCACAGTTAGCACTGAATTGTGATAGGGATGTGTACATGTAAGGTAAAATCTTTGATGTCACATAGTATGCATAGCTTTTAGAATAGCCTCAAGGAACTAAAGAATGGAACAGTTGTCCATTTTGGTTTGGGTTGAAATCAGGAAGATTTTTGCTTTTACTGATGCTGGATACATGGATCAAGAGCCTCCCTTTACTGTAGGAGAAACTCTTGTTTCTCTCATTTTTTTAAAATTATTTTTAGGTTTTTTTAGATGCACATGGCTGTGTCTAGCTTATGTGTCATTTAATTAACTGTAGGTGTTTTAATTTAGAAATTGATCACTGATAGAGATCTTGTCTCAACATCAGTGCTTTGCTACTGTGCAGAATTTTGAACTATAGAGTTATTTTCTGCACATGGCAGTTATGGACCTCTGTTTTGTGGGTTGCCTGAAGATGTCTCTTTTCTGTTAACATGCTCTGGAATTTAGGGAAGAGGTATAAGACTCTCACTGGACATAATGTCAGGTTATACTCACTGCAAGTCTGCAGTTGCTACGTTTGTTTTCTACATGGCTGCGCTACTTTTGGATTTCAGCCTTTTAGAAGATATGGAACTCAAACCTAACAGAGAAACTGCCTGGTTTGCTGGTCTGCCTCACTGTCCCAGCTATTATATAGCCTTCACTATCAGCTGAAGTGAATGAAAGCAGACCATGGAAGCCTTCACCAGACAGGATGCTTTATAAATACCTAAGTCTGATTAAAGGGGCTGCTATAAATAGTGCAACAGCACTTATACACAGCTTCCAGCTAAAGGACATATGAGGAGCATATCACATAGGAAATATTGTTGAAAATACTGCAAAAAGGCTCTCAACCTTACATTACATTAAATCAGTTTTAAACATTTATGGGCTATATTACATCCCTAGCAATCTAAGTCAGTTCCAGGTTCTTCAGTGTAATGCTCTAGGGGGCACAGGAGTACTGCAAATGCCCAGTGTACCTCCCCTTTCGTGCCCAAGGGTGCACCCAGTAGTCACATTACCTCTAAGAGAGTAAGAATTGGGAGGATAAGTTATCAAATTAGGGCATCCCTAGATATGACCCTTAAAATCAGTCCTTCCATTATATCATCAATTAAATGTCATAAGGTGAGCCTAGAGCAATGCTTAGAGTCAAGGCTGCTGGTTGCTTTTCATTGGAAAACAGTGCCCTTCAGTGATTTAAGCATATGAGAAAATAATAATAATTTAAATGGAAGTTTGATATGCTTTGTACCCATCTGAAATTCAGAGTTTGTGAATTAAGCCAAGGTATCCAATAATTCTATTGTCAGAAATTATGGATGGAAAAAAATTTTTGTACTCTGTTAAACATTTCTTTCAGGTTGAAAAATTGTAATAGTTCTAGTCTATGAAGTACAGACCTGCTTTTTTGACAGCTCAACTGCACCATGGCAGGCAGTGGGTTTTTTTTTTTTTTTTTTGTTGAACTAGTAAACATTCAGCCCAGCTATAAGCCTCTGACAAAGGTTTTCACTTGTTACTGCGACTCCTGAATTCTTTGGGAATTAAGCCACTCTGCCAGTAGTCTGTGCCCTCAGTGCTTCTCATGCCATGTTCCAGAGGGGCTCTGGCTTATCCTGTAGGCTGTCTTACCACCACTTTTGTATGGCTCTTAGTTTTCTCCTAAGCACTTGGTCTGCTTAGTGGAAAACCCAGAAGCAGTATGCCTGGAATGGAAGGGATAGGAGAGAGAATGGAGTGGAATGGAATGGAAAGGAATGGAATGGAATGGAATGGAATAAAATTAGAATAGAATAGAATGGAATGGAATGGAATGGAATGGAATGGAATGGAATGGAATGGAATAGAATAGAATAGAATAGAATAGAATAGAATAGAATAGAATAGAATAGAATAGAATAGAATAGAATAGAATAGAATAGAACATTTCAGTTTGA